AGCAGCTGCAGAGGAACACCAGTGTGGTGACAAGCTGCTTTAAAGACGCACAAACCGCTAAGTTGTTGAGCTGTTTCTTTTTATTTCATTAGTCTTTCCCAAAGGGACGTCTGAGAACCCGACGGGCTCCTTGTGGGGTCAGAAAGGTCTCTATCAAAATAAGGAATTGTATATAATCCCTGTTAGTTTGTGAATGCGGGCGGCGTTTAGTCACACTGTAACTGTCTATCATCTTTTTGCCTCTGCTGCCCTCTAGTGGCTCTAAAGTGAACATACTATTCCTTAATGTCAAGGAATCAATACAGTGATGGTTCTTTCATTGAAAATACAATGGATGTTACTATCCTCAAAACACGTTTATTATGTCACAAATGGCATTTGAGATCAGTCCAAACTATGGTCCATACGGTATATGTTTATGGGTTTCTGAGTGATGTGGCTTTTTGTTTAGCTGAGAAGGAATTCAGAGAAAAACCCTGTATGGGGATCGAAAAAAATTAAGAGAGAAGTAAAGATGTTGAGGATTATCTGATTTATGAATTCAAATTCACAAATGTGATGCATTTTCTGTGTGTGTTTGTGGAGCAATATCACCGATGCATTCTGTATTGATTTCAGAAGGGAAAACACATGTTCACCTGCAGCAGGTCTTCTGTTCTTTTCCTTGGATCAGTGTTGCCACTTTCTGTGTCATGACCATTAAAAGCAGCAGCACATAAAGAACAGAGTTGCTGCCGAGAACTACAGACGGCCTTCAAATGTGCAGAACCATATCTTTATCATCCATCAGTCAGTCTCTCACAGGGAAAATATTTGTTGTTGCCGTCCCAATTGAGTTACTTTGGGTTTTTTTTTTCATTTATAATCGATATTATACTGTCTACATATGCACTTTAGCATTTCTGTATTGATTTATCCAGATTAAGTTTTAGTCAAAAAGAAACTAATTTTATTTTTGAAATAGTGCTACCGGACGTGTCAGTCATTCTGTTTCGTGAAATACTAACAGCTCGGTAAAGTAGCGGTGGACAGGCTGAGCTAGTGATGGCGAGATGAAGCTTCATGAAGCATTGAAGCTTTCCATCCAATTGGTTCACTCATGGGCCGAAGCTTCATGGCGCTTAATTTGCTCTACTGCGCCATCAAGTGGACAATAGATGTGAAACAGGCAGAGTGATGATAATGACACCACGGCTTTGGTGTGTGAAGCTTTGAATTGAATAAATGAATGATGTTTGTGATGCCAATACACAACTTATGAACTTATTAATATGGTATCTGTCTTTATGATACAATGGCGGGGTCAAAAGGGAAAGTGGAACCAAATTGGGGAGAGAGATGTGAATGTGCTTGTGTTACTAAGGACAACATGTAACATGTAAAATAGGGACATTTATTTAGAAAATAACCTTTCACAGGGCACAGCTGAAGCTGGGGTACAGAAAAAAAGCAACAGCAAGTTTATACAACTTGGAATATACATTTTTCTGTCCTTCCCAATACTCTAGGCGGGTTCTCCAATCTTCCAATGTTTAGTTCACCCAGGTACGCTTGGACCTCCACAGGAGGAGGAGGAGGAGGAGGAGGAGGAGATCTTTTTAAACCTGGGACCGGCCCATTTGCTATAAAATTAGCCAACAAAAAGTGACTCATTCAAGTGTCACTGCAGCAGCAACTTAAACAAAACGGCGTCATTTAGAATATTGCAATGAAATAAAGGAATTCACCTTTGCAGTGGTGCTGCTCTTGAAATAGCCCACTATCTTCCTCGAGTTTGCCCGGATGTCAGACAACAGAGTGTTTTGGGCAAGAGCCTTTTTTATGAGTAAATTTAAAGTATGCGCCACACAATTTGTGCGACGCAAACGAAGCTCCCTGGCACAAGCACCCATATTTGCTGCGCCATCAGTCACAAGGCAAGTAACTGTGTGACATACTGTAAGTGCTGCTTTTACTGTTGCCAAATTTTCAGCAGTATGTGCCTCAGGGAAATGCGGCACCCCGAACACAACAGAATGCAAGGAGGTGCTTGCATCTATAAAATGGCATGTCACAGCTAGATACGCATCAGTGTTGATGATAGAGATCCACATATCTGATGTTAAACTAACTGCAGATGCCTTCGACACAATGGCTTTGGCTTTCTCCTTGGATTCCTTTATACATGTCCTCCACCATAGCTTTCAAAGCCTAAAGGAAAGAAGAGAGTACTCTTGAAATGGCAAATATGGGGAAAAACACTTCATGTGCTCACATACGCACCTGCCTTGAGGGGAGAACATAGGCAGGGTTGAAAGAACAACAAGCTTTCTGAACCCTTTGTCCTCCACAATAGTGAAGAGCTGGGAATCCTCAATCACCATATTGACCAAGGCCTCATCCACATCATTCTTCTCCCCTGATGACAAAACAAATCCAGTATTCAATTACAGATGTCATTAATTACTCATTTAAAATACAAATTAATGGTGTCTAATACAGACGTACCATGTAATTTTATGTTTGTATGCTGTCTTATCATTGCATCCTAAAATGGCTTACCTGAGCTTGGTCCACCTTGGTTGGTCTCCTTGTTTTCATGCAGGGCTCTATAATTACCTTTAGTAAAGGTCATTAGGTACCCGTTAGAGTATTGAGACCCTTTACCAAGGTGGTGGCTTGATCCTCATCCGAAATTCGTTGAGTCTCAAGGTTTGTTAGTTGTATTAACGCAATGCGTGGGACTGGACGTTGAACTAGTAAGAGAATATGTATTGATGTAGGCTTTGATGTTGCCATTCTCTCCCTAGGCTGGTCTTGAATGCGTTAACTGAGGTCCACCTCAGCATAGATGAGGTGTTATTGTTGTATCAGCCACTTCACCTTTTAAAATACCAGAAAGTAGAAGAAAGACATTAGAACAAGGGATACGCTGTGTTGTCACATTTATTTACAGTACATTACGCTAGGTATTATTACTATGTGCATACCTTATTTGGAGAGATCAGCTCAAAATGTTCCCAGGCAGGGGCAAATCTCCTCTTTATTGCAGGTTCCATCGCAAAAAAAGAAGCCCGAATAGATTGCAAACAAACGCGCAATAATGTCCCATGTCCACAAAATGTGAGGGGGGGGGGGGGGTCCATTGCGTTTCGCTGCCCCTTATATTTCGAATCGCACGCCAAACCAGCGAACAATTTTGCTGAATCAGTCACGTGGTACGGCTGGCTCGCGAGGCTTCGAACGTCACCAACACAAGCCTCGACACGCGCTTCACAATAAGGAAGTACACATCACTAGGCTGAGCAGCGTGGCTACCTGTACAACGTTACACTAGTTGTAAGTAGGCTACAACACACCATAATAAGTGCATACGCGTATGTGTTTCATTTGTCTTTGAAACGTATTTTGTTGAGGGCAGCTAATCGAGTAGCTAACTTACCTGGCTAGCCTAAATAACAGCACCGAGAATTACCGGTCGACTGGATGGAAAAAAAAAAGCAAACTACCGCCTTTGAGCTTCTCTAAATTATATATATCTGCTTCTGGGTATTTGTACTGTAAAGTGTTTTCGTTTATTTTTGTATCGTTCCTTTCCATTTATAGACCGACGAGGACGAAGGATTCCCCTCTACACTCTGCACCTCAGTGGACAAAATAAGGGAAACACCTCATGAAAACCAAATTCATCTTTGAAGTATCACAGCTCCAGGGGCATCCGCTCTGTTATTATCTTCTTCACTGACAGACGTGATTGTCTGCCAGCTTCAGATGAGTCAGTTAACGCATCCACTCCCAGTATGAGTGACTTAACAGACTTTGACAGAGGCCAGATAATTGGTGCCCAACTTGCAGGTCTGTCGGTCAGAAAAACTGCCCAGTTATGCGATGTATCAAGTCGAACTGTCCTCAAAGTGATGAGTGTATACAACACACATGGACACACATCAGCAAAGAAGAACGGTGGGCACAAGCCAGAGACTAAAAGGATGCAACTGAGGAAACCTGCTGCATGTGAAGAAGCTGCTGCCTGTGGGAAACCAGGATCTGACTCTGAGGTCGACACACACAATTCTGATGAAGAGAGCAAGAGACATGAATCCCAGACCATAGACGAGGTGTCATAGTCTTATGTGCTTGTGTTTCAGACTTTGGTTCATGTTTGCATAAAGCCACTGCCTTCATTTAATCCACGTTTTGCCCCTTTTTTAACTTTGACGTTTGTTTTTTTGGTTTATTTTTTTGAAAGCCTTAAAAATTGGTTTGAAGGTATTCAGTCAGTACATTCCCAGGCTTTTCCTAAGCTTTTTTTAAATTGTTTAAAGAATCGGTTCCTTGAACTACAGTAACTATCTGTGTTTGGCTGCTGCATTCAAATGTTTTTGTACAACTTATTGATGAGGAAGTAAACGCATTTAGACAATAACACTAAATTGTGGTAGATTTGTCTTTAGTATTAAATAAGGCACTGTCATTGTAGCATGTACATACAATAAAACAAAAACCTGTAAATTGTATTGCATGCGGGAGAAATGACCATACCAATGTGCTGGCATTAAGCCGTGTTTTAAGGTGACTGTGACCAACTAGTTGCAATCTAAGGTCCATGTTGGTATGTGTTCATGGGGATCTGATGTAACTTTTTGTTTAGTTTTTCTTTCATTACCAACACATGTATACCGTGAACATGGTTTCAATAAGATAAAACACATCTGTGTTCTCCTGCTAGTCTGTCTTCTGTCCTTTCACTCACTGTTCTGACCAGTCGTGTATTCACTTTGACCCTCAGAGAAATACTTATTTTGTGTCATATCCTGCATCATCACCAGTTTTCGAAAATGTTTAATACATCTAGTGCAACACACAGTATCGCAACGAGTATGTTATTGCACTGCTGTCTACTGCTCAAATGTCTTTGTATGTAAAATACGCTGTCAAAGTCAAATACATGGAGCGATGTGCTGTAGTGGTGACCCTTTTATTCTGAAAACCTTTGACAGGAAGTACTATTTCACCTCTCCCCGGTGAAACCCAAACATCTCGGTGACAAAGTAACGTTCGCGGTGGATAGGCTGCCAGCGGTGCATGCTTTTAGTTGTAAGTAAAACACCGTAATTAATGCACACCCCTATGTGCTTCACGTGGCAGTAAAAGGGTAAACATATAACGTAGCTACACTCTCAAAACGTATTTTGTTGAAGGAAGCTAGCGTTAATGTAGTAGCTACCTGGTTAGCCTAAATTACAACATCCAGTTGATTGAAAACCGTGACTGTCAATAAAAACCGGAGAAACGCCAATGAGCTTCTCTACTTGTGTGTAGTGGCCGCTGGGTAATCCTACTGTAGTGGTAATGGTTTTGATTACATCGTACACCCGCTGTTAAGTAAATGTTAGCTCTGTGATGTCAACGTTACTGGATTCAGTTCAACACAGAACATCTACTTTAGTTTAAGTGTGTCAAACAAATGTAATATCTTGAAATGTTATTTTCTGGTATTTATTATCATCCCTTTCATCCATTTCTAGACACAGTGGTGGATGTTTACCTACCCTGGATCTCTCTGATCCAGCGTACAAAATAATGGAAACACCATATGACAGAGGACTTTGGATCACCTAAGGAGCAATTACAGGGCCTGCTACCTGCCTGCCAGTTGGGATTGTCTTCTGTCGGCTCCAAAAGAAGCTGTCTTTAAAGCAATATGAGTGACCTAACAGAGTTTGAAAGATGCCAAATAGTTGCTGCACGACTATCGGGTGCATCTGTCACAAAAACGGCACAGCTGTTCAATGTGGCAAGAGGAACCGTCTCCAGAGTCATGACTGTATACATCAAGCATGGACGAACGGCATCAGCAAAGAAGAACAGCGGGCGCAAGTCGAAGCTCACTGAAAAGGATAGACAGACACTCCTCAGGATAGTTGATGAGCACCCTGAGTATACAGCATCAAAAATAACCTCGGAGCTGAACAGACACCTCTCTCACACCGTCTCAGTAAAAACTATACGCCGCGAGCTTCACAAAGCTGGGATTTTTAGAGGAGCGTCCAGTCGGAAGACGGAGGCCGAGACTGACGCGCAGCAGCCAGATGGAAGGGATGCTAAACCTGAGCCTGAAAAAGAGAGTGGCGCACAAAAAACGGGTGAAGAGAGCACAAGACCTGAAAGGCAAACAAATGACAAAGACTACGGCACACAAAAGTCTGTGGAAGACATAAGAATATCTGAACCCCAAGCCGGTGTCGGAGAGTACAACATAGAAGAGAGGACACAGCCTGAATCAGAAGTCAGCGAAGAAGAGTGCAGCACACACCAGCCGGGTGAAGAGAGCACAGGACCTGAACCTCAGACCTAACGTGTTGTATTTCTGCCTTTCTAATACGTCCACATTGGTCATGTTAAGGGAAAATCACAGGATGCCTAAATCCCTTAATTACATTTCAGTTTCTAGATTGTATTATTTATTTTTGCATGAATGCATAACGGTGCAATATTCTGGCTTCTCGCAAGCTTTTTTACATATTTCCTGGATTATAAATAAACAGTGAACTTAAATGTAGACTGTTGAGAATTATCCTTAATACTTTAAATATTCATACTGTAGATGTCTAACAGTATATTATATTGTTTAAAACACTCAATTCAATACAGATAATTACAGTTCAATGTGATTTGAATCTGAGTCATCGCATTCCTCCCACGCTACCTCTTTGCTTTTATATTATACTTTTCATGTTTATAGCACCTGCATGTGCATAGCTGGGGTGGGACACAAAGCATCAGACAACATATGTAATGTTTGTTCTGCATATTAAAATGTTACACTGAAAAATCAAAAGTTGTCTGTATGTTCTATTGTTTCTATTGAAATACACTCTGCTCAGTTGTCTTAATGATGTTTCTGATGTTTTATTCACCTCATATCAATGAGGTCAGACAATACATTAGAAGTACCGCTGTACAACCTGTGGCAATACAACAGAGGTGAAATAATATTTGGATACTTTACTTAAGTAAAGTACTAATAAAGCACTGAAAAACGTTTGACAACACATCACACTTTTAGATACATATTTCTGCTGCATTAATCTGTTGCTTTTTACTGCTGAATATGGTTATGGTTGTGCTCAATATAGCTACTTTAATACTGTTGGGTAGTTTAATCTTCAGCATTGCAACATATTCAATATGATCATCATATGTTTGTAGTGTATGTCCTGTGAGAATCTCTCAAAAGTTGTCATGGGCTCAGACAAATATCCCATTTCAGTTAATTTAGTTTAGCTAATCCAAGAAGTGTATAATAGTTTATTGTTTTAAGATGGAGAAGAATTTTCTCAACCCATAAAGGAAAACGTAATCCTTCAGTTTATTACAAAGAAATCTAATAAAAATCACCAAATTTGGAGATACGTGGTTTTCAATGGACAGGAAGGTAAACTGTACTCTGAAAAGTAAGTCAAACTATTGCCTCTGAGATGTGGTCGAGTGGAGGTAAAAGTCTTTTCATGGAATGGAAAACGTTATGCAAAATTCAACAGCAAACTACAGCCTTTAAAAATACCATACCGTTTATTTAACAACTCTCCAACCCGACCACATGTTACATACACATCTAAATGCATCTCATATTAAAAGGTATGATAGCCATTTTAATGAAATGTCTTATTATTACATAAAAATAACCGAAATAAATACGACAAAATATGCTGTGTTTCATTTATTTATGTTCAGAACTGCTGCACATGGACGTCCCAGAGCGGCTCTCTGGCACGTCCGAGAATTACGCAACAACAACAACGAACCCGGAAGTGCGGCACCAGCTGTAAACACAGCTGTGGAAGCTGGCGATAAAGTGAAAGATGGTGTACGTGTCCAACGGTGAGTGGTTTGTCCTGTGTCTTCAACAGTTTTCTCATCGTAAGAGAAAATAAGTAGCAGTTTTGCTGACATAACTTTCTCTGTCGAACACTTTCAGTTAAAACACACCACTTCTACATTAAACGTGTAGTTGTAGCAGAGCTTTAAGCTACATTAAGCTAACAGCTAGCTCGTTAGCATTTAGCCTAGCTGGATCTGCGTAGCAGGAGGAACTGCTGACATAATCGAGATAGTTTTGTACAACAGGGTATCTACTAGTGTTTGCTCTATTGGTCAGCATATCGCCTCGCTACTGCTAGTTTGAGTGTGCTATATTGAACATTACGCAATGTAACAAGTCTCGGACCCCGCTGTGTTGCGTCTTGTTTTACTTAACGTTAGCTGTTGGCCTGTGTTAAACCATTAACTGGCAAACCGAGGAAGGAATGTGTACATACTCTTTGATGTTAAACGTCAACCTCACAAGCTATTCTGTTCACCATTAACTGACCCCTGCTGTCTCACACACCGATCTCAGGTCGGGTCCTGGACAGCAGGTCCCAGTCCCCATGGAGTCTATCCTATCTGGTCGATCTCTTCTGGGGAGCAGTGGATTTCTTCGGCCTGTTGTAAGTGCTTAGCTGTCTAATATTGTTAACGTGTTGCTAGTCAAATTAATAGAAACTGGTGGAGTAGTAATTCCAAGGCTAGAGTCTACGTGCAAGCAGGTTACTGTACTCTGCAGTGCTGTGAGCTAAACGGTAATGTCAGCATCCTCATGCCAACATGCTGAAGTTCACCATCTTAATTTAGGCCATTAGCATTGCTAACACTTTTTAATGAGGTGGATGTGAATGTCACGTGTTTCTCAGGTATTTTGTCATAAGCCAAAGAATTGAGGTGATGTTTTTATATTCTCTCGTGACACTGCCGTCCACACTGATCTTCTTTTGTCCTCTTACCAGTTTTAAGACGATACTTCACCCTGACATGAGGAAGGGTGGAAACTCTGGTTCGTCACGCTTCACTGATGGCAGAGGGTAGGTTTCAGGGGCACAGTCCATTTCTCTACTGTCACAAACACTGGGGACATGCCTTACGTGTCCCTCTATCTTAAACGTTGAAGGTACCCTAATCCGAAGGTGGGAGTGTCGTCTGTGTGGATCCATGTATGAAAACCACTGGTTTTCATATATGGGAGCTGCAGAGTTTAAATACTATCTTACGCTGTTGCCCACTATAGCAGTTAAATTAATTGCAGCATCATGTGTCAAGTGTTTTTCTCATTTATGTTGCCTATCCCTTCCAATTGAGCATCAAATAACTAATGTAGGAAAAGACAATAAAACAAAAATCATTTAATAATCTTTCCTCTTCTCTGTCACTTGTTTTTTCAGTCCTCCAGGTCCCCCTGGTGGCAGGAGAAGGATGGGGAGAATTAACCACGGGGCAGGTCCCAGCTCCCCACCAATGGGTGGAGGAGGATGAGGAAGGTGAGGATTTTTGTTTTTTATTAAACATCACCCATAAGATAAACCTCTTTTGATATCGTGTACCTTCTATATCTGGAGCCTGTATCACAAAGTGAGATCAAGGGTTTGTTATAACAAGTGGCCTTAAAAAGTACTTTGCCTCACATATTTGGAGACATAACTCCTCCATTGTATACTCCTCCCTTCTCTCTAGGTAAACGCCTACACTGAATGTGTAGGCGTGGGGCCTGGCACAGTGTCTATTTGCTGAGACCCTAAAGGAAGACTGATGTCACAGTGCTGAAGCCCCTCTTCATCGGCTGCCGCTGCAACCAGCAGTTTCTTGACGCCTTTCTGGGAATTCCTACACGTAGGGACCAGAATGGCCGATGCAGCAGCTATCCTCATTTCCTCCCTTCATCCTCTTTTGGCCTGAACATTTTACTGTCACACCAGTTCCCTTCTGAACTGAAGTTTCATGAAGTTAGTTTGTCATTGTTTTGTATGTTTCTGTCTGAATAAAAATGTTCGATGTTTAAACATGTTACCACTGAGTTCCATTACAATTACACTCTGTAACGACACAACTTGCCTCTGTGTAGATCTAGGGCATGCACTTCAAAATCAATAATGTGAAGATATTATAAAAAAATTGTATCTAATAAATGGCTGATTGTATTTGAAATGTAATGTGGCAGAGCCGGCGGAGGCATTTGTCTTAACTCGGACAGTGAATGTAAATCTTAAAGCATTGAGTTTCTGGGATAATAGTTTGAGGCAATCTTGTGTTTCAATCCAATATGTTCATATTTCCAAAAAAGGTGGATTTTGTTTGTTCCAATCAAATGCAACAATTGTATATCCAAGCGTGATGGGTTTATTTACACAAATCCAAACTTTCAAAAAGAGGCAAGAATTGCAGTATTTACAGAATATTATCAAAGACTTCAAAAGTTCTACAATAACGACTCCCATCTGGGTTTCTATTGGATGACACAAGTAAACATGGTGTTAGCCGTGCTATAATTGTCAAAGGGATACGTTGCCCTGAACGAGCTGCTCACGCTACGCCTCCTGTGTAGACGCAGCGTTAAGATTCAAGTAAAATCTGTTTGCTTTCACCAGACAAAGGCAGCTCTCTCGCGGAGCATTCGGACACCAAACCGCTGCCACTCCCTCTGGTGGATCCACATCTCCTGAGTGGTGTCCAGACACGCCAGCACTGCTCCCCCCTTCCATGATATCAGCCGAGGGTTCATGTCCTAGAGCACAGATGCCCATCAATATACAAGTACAATAAAAAAAAAAATGAAGCCCACTAAACAACATGCTACTTCGTCTACATTGCAGATCTGTATCTGACTTTATGGCTGTACAACATATTCCAGGTTACCTTAGGCCGCGTGATAACTTCCACGTTGTCTACCAGCCTTCTGAATGAGGGCGGCATCTTGTTGATGATGCGGTGAAGCAGAAACTCCTGAGCACCATGAAACATGAGCCCTCCTCCCACGACCAGGATGGAGCTGTACATCTTGCGTTTGGTTTCATCTGATGCTACAAAAAAAATAAAAATAAAATACAAGAAGAGGTTATACCGGACATCCTGATCACTATAAAACATCTGTCCACATCCTTTATTATATATATATTTTTGTTAGTTTACTACATCCTGTCCGTCCTTACCACAGCAGTCGATGCTATGCAGGATGGCCTTGTCCAGGCCCAGTGCTTTGCTCTCAAACTGGCTCATGATGGCAGTCTTCCTGGAGAGGTGAGCAGACAGGGGCTCTTCCACCTCTCCTGCCCCCATCAGGCACTCCCCCTGCGCAGGCCCAAACTCCATCTCCACCTTCATCCCTCCTCCAGCGCTGCCACTCCCACAGCCCCTGCTCAGGTCAGAGAGCTCCCCAACCCCTCCCTGACCACTCATCTCACCATCCAAACCACCACCTGGTCTGGACATACCCTTCCGGTCTGCACCAGATTTGGAGGACTGGTGAAGAAAATGGGATAATAATAATTAAAAAAAAAGAAAAGAATCACAGAGCCTTTATCTGAAGAAGAAATAATGAGTATTATATAATCTCTGTGTGAGTGTGTGTTACCTGGTCCTGTTTGCTCTGTGTAGTCATCAGGTAGTGTTCATCATGAGGATCCTCTGAGTCTCCTTGGGAACGGTACTGAAGTGATGTCATCTTCTGACCTACGATGCCAAATGTGGTCGGGTAGAAGAGACCCATAGGTGCCTAACAACATATAGATACAAGCCAGAACACATGAGGAGGGGACACAACAACAACAAAATCGATAAAAAGTACTTCCAGTACACAAGCTGGAGACTGAACAATGTAAAATAATGTTTTACTCATTACTATCCAACCTAATTACCTGTAATTTCTCATCCCCTAGTCGAACCTGGTAGAGAAGAGCTGGGGCTTCTGGGAGACGTGTCTGGAATTCATGATCTTGTAGTCCTGATATGTCCTATTAAGAATAAGTGGAGGAAAGACACATTTAGGAATTTATCTGAATAACTGTAGATTTCTCTGTCCATTCTTAAAAAGGACTATAGTGATTTAAACAGACACAAAGGTGCCAACGCTGCTCTAAAACTGATCAAAGTACAACGCTACAGTTCCCCAATACTTCACCCCCTGAACAACACACACTTGGTTCAGATGACAGAAGGTCTCTTTCAGATGCTGTAGCAGCTGACAGTTCAGTCTGCTGGACAGCTGACAGTCTCTGTAGGGAAAGCCCGCCCTCTGCAGGAGCCAGAAGAAAGTGCGGGTCACATCTGAGCCGCCATAAGCCAAACATAATCTGCAAAGTCCAACAGACAGAAAATACAAAGTCACTGAGGGATCTTTGTTTCCCTACACAGGCAGTGTGTTATAACCGGACTGGAGCAACACACTGACTGTTTCTTTGAACCAGAGGGAAAGCTCTAATGTTATTGCAAGGGAATACAAAACAATTCCAGGAACAAAATTCCCACCTTGATGCTTTTGGGAGCAATACGAACTGACCAGAAACAATCAATTTGAATCAAACATTGCGTTTTGTCATCTTCTGTATGTCAGTGTTCTGAGTCTCATGTGTAAAAAGGATCCGTGATGTCTCCAGTTATAACCTGGATGAATAAACTATTTCATAGAAATAAATTAAACACAGAAGTGGTTCTCAGTCCCACCTGGAGTTCCTGTGGGACACGCCGTCCTCTACGCAGCAAAGACTGGACTTCTGGTCTCCAACATCCACGACACAAGCACTGCTCAACCCACTGCCAAATGTAGCACACACCGACTCCTGGTGCACGATGATCGCTACACACACACACACACACACACACACATACACACACACACCCAAGGACAGAGCATGAGGCGACGCAAAGAGAGACAGATTGGATGGTTCCTCAGCCTGCCCTGAATTTGCTGTTGCGGAGGATAACAGTGCATATGTACATTTTAGTTGTCAGCCATACATGTATACATGTGTGTAATACCTGAGAAGCCCATATTAAGCAGCAGCATGTTGACAACTTCTTTGATGTGCTGCCTGTTACAGATGTCGGGCACCAGTAGGATGCATCTGTAATACTGGAAACAAGTCACAAAAGCCACGTGAGAGAAAGAGATTTGACCATCAGCGTAGCTCGATCTCATTTTCATTATTTTCTACCTTCAACATGTTGCAGAGGACTTTTGTGACATGAGGAGGTTTCTCCTACCTTTAAGTCTTTGAGGGGGATCTCCAGCTGCTTCTGAATGACGTGACTCCAGATCGTCTCGAGGTCAGCCAGTACGGCGGTCAGGGAGCCTCCGGTACCGGCATGCACATTGAGCTGACCTCTGACTATTGGCCAGTGGATGTTGTAACAGTCAGATGGATTCACATAAAGAGCCTACATGAGGGCAGGATGGAAGGGTGGAGGGAGCATGAGAAAAATGGATAAAACAGACAAAGAGTCTAGGTAGTACAGTTTTATTTTATGGAAGTTAACAGACACATGGACTGACCTCCTCTCCCACCAGATGAGGAGGCTGGTGGGCTGTGTTGGTCCACTTCACCCTGGAGCTGCTGTCTAGTACTGCCGGACGGATCTGACAGTTATAAGCTCGGGCCTTTACTCACACAGGTACAAAACAAAAAGATTCTTTAATGAATTTCTGCACATAAAAGCATAAAGCACTTGAGTTATTCAAAGAACACCATTTACAATTCAAAAGCAAATATGTAATCGAACCATGTTGCTGCGCTCAGTGAACATTGCATTATTAAGTATGAGTTCTCTCTCTTTCATAATACACACCTGGTCAGCAGAGACGGGTGTCCTCCGCACTCCGTTTGACATTTTCTTGGACCAGATGGCCTGGTCCACCATTTTAAGCCCATTCTGCCTCTGCTCATTACTCTCTGCTTTCTGCCAAACAGGAAGTAGACACAATGTACAATGGAATAAGATACAGAATAAAAAATAGGGCTGCACAATTAAAAATCACAGTATGGCCTACTGCAATTTATAAATCGGCAGACAAAATGGCAAAATACCATTTTATAAATTAAATATTGTCCTTCTGCGGAGCTGTCCTGGCCTACACATCATATTCTACAGACCTAAGAAAACATATTGTCTGGTACAGATCCCTACAAACATCACACAATGATTTTAATCTGTAAAACTAATTGCAATTAGATATCTTTTCTAAATCGTTCAGCCCTAGCATTAAAGCCTGGGTGTATCTGCTCACGAGCCACTTACATTTAGACCATCTCTCAACAGCCAGGCATCTTCATATCTCGGCTGTCCAGTTTGTTTGTGTCTGCGCGCTATCACATGTGGGAGTGTCACCGGAAGATTATCTGTAGCTCGGCCAATGCGGAGCGTCCTTGAACCAGGGTGGATGACAACTATGAAGTTGCTCTGTATTTGCTGTAAGAGAGGAACGTATATAGACAGAGGGAGATGGTCAGCACAACAAAACTAGAAATCACAAAAGTACGTGGACGCCTGAACATTACACCAACATGTGGTTATGTTTTTCACACAATGTGTGAACCGGGCTGAAGGGATTTTCTCCCCTTCAGCTAGAAGAGCATTAGTGAAGTCCAACACTGATGTTTGTTCACAGTCAGCCTTCGAGTTCATCCCAAAGGTCAGAGCTCTGTGCAGGCCTTCTTCATCTTCTTCCACACCAAACACAGAGTCTGTTCTCTGTGGACCCCAAACTGTGCACAGGGACATTGTGGTGTTGGAACAGTAAAGGGTCTCCCCAAACTGTTGCCTCAGAGTCGATGTTGGACACACAATACAGAAATAAATGTGTAAATATAAAATGAAATACCATTGTAACATACCATTGTATGCTGCAGCATCATCAAAATAAAGCTCAAACCAAAGGTATTTGTAATATGTGTCTTACAATGCAAACTGAACACCTGAGGTTGTCAGTTGATGGTCAAATACTGTACCTGAAGACATCACTTTAAGACAAAGATGAGTTCAAGTGACTGATATCAAACCCCGGTCACTCCAGAATAGTCTGTGCACGTGAAAGCTGAATGGACTGAATTATAAAGATTGAGACGACGATATTCGACTATTGTTTTTATAAATAGCAGCATTAGACAACAATTGAAACACTCGACTTCCCGTCTCACCTCCTGAAGTGGGTCTGGGATGACCGGAGGAGCGATGGGTCTTTTCACCCCGCGTTGTTGCTCCTTTTCTTTCTCCTTGTCTCGTTCCTTCTCCTTCTCCTTCCCGTTGTCCTGCTCTTTCTCAGCCTGGGTCATTATTGGTGAAGATTTTTAGTCGATTAAATAGTCATAAATAACGAGTCGCAAGCTCTTTGTGCTTGTGAAGTGCTTCAACATGCAACCCAGAAGCGAGGACCTTCCTCTGAATAGAAAGTTGTTGCAGCGGTAGATTCTACTTCCGTGTTTGATCACGTGCCACAAGACAGCGGTTTCTATTTGTCGAAAGAGATGTTTACTTAGCACTGCCTCTTAGCTGAGTCAAAGGCACTCATTTGTCAACATTATTAAATTACTTTTCTAATTTTCATATAGAGTTACTGCAGCTTAAGTATGTTATATTTAAAATAAATAATAACAGTAAAATGCCTTTTCTTAACTCAGATACTCTACTGTAAACAAGACTGTGAACATTTGCTGCCACGAGGGTTGAGACAAGCAAAAATAAATGCAGACTGTGAATGCTGTTTTGCCGACACATTCAATTTGCAATGTCAAATTTAAAGTCTCAAAAACACAGCATTACAAAATGCTAATAATTGAGCTTTAATTATAATTGTATTATTGTGTTTTTAAATTATATTACCAAATTGCACCTTGAATTGACATTTGCAACATGCATTGCCATTAAAATAATGTCAGTATTAAAAAAATGGAAAAGAGCTACAGGATTGTGAGCTAGTTTTATGATTATTAGCTAAAATAAACCACCATGTGCTTTTTGCCGACCAAGTAAATTTGTAGCAGTGAAACCTACTGGGCCCCTTGACCTATTACCAGTAGGAGAGTTCATTCATTCCCTGACATATGTGTATGAACTGTGTATTAATCCCATTCAGGATCACATGATCTAGGATGTTATTCTAGCAACCACCTCCTTCTTTAGGCTATTTAAGGATTGCACATCAAGTAAAGATAATAAACAAACACAACAAATACATTATTTCAGAAATGTATTACACAAAAAAAGAAGAGAGAAGTTGTCTTTGCTGCCTTTTTTTCTTTCTTTGTGCCAGTGTTCATCAGTTTATCATTTCTACATGATGACGATGATGACAGATGAAACACTAACGCAACATGTTTAAGGTGGAAAACAAAAACGGTAAACAATAATGTTATTACAAAATAGAGTAATAGGCTACAGTATGCAGTGCTGGAAAACACAGAGACAAGTATCAACCCTTAAGGTGTCCAAGCCAGTGTTTTGGTTACCAAAATAAGCATAGGTCTATGCCAGCTATAGAACAGATACATGTAAATGCACTTTAGAAGCCGTAATGAAAGACAAAGCTACTCACTATGAACTATTCTGACCCATCCTCTTTCTCCATCAATCTGAACATTTTCATTACAAATCTTCAAATAATGGTAGCCACAGATTTCAATGGTTCTGCCTTTCTGGAAATGTTTGGCTGGTGTCCTCGTAGCTTTTCTACAGCTTCCCCTAAATTCACTGTACAATTTTCACTGTCGGCAATCCCCGGTCTGAAGATCAGATCTGATATCTTCTTGTCATCCTGACTCCCGGTATGAAGACTCCTGCACAGCTTGTTCAAGTCCTTCATCAAATAGAAAGTCTTGCAGGCCCTCAGTTCCAGCGGAAGGTTACTAGGCTTCTTGTCCTGCTGCTCGCCCAGCTGCACCACACAGAACTTAGCCAAGTCGCTGGCACTCTTTGCGTGGCCTGCCACCATGTTGAGAGTCAGGGGGTAAAGGTCATGAGCTGAAGCTGGTATTGAGGGCTCTTGGGAGGTGCGGTTGGGAGGAGAGTGGCTGAGCAGTGAAGAGGACTGAGAGAAGATAGTTTTTAATTTTTTTTAAATCACTCATAACAGACTGCAAGTTAAAAATGATCAATATTACATAAAAGTTACAATCTACCTTTGGGCAGACGATGAGGACTCTGTGTGCAGTCTTGGCCTTTTCTGCCAGCCAGCGCATTGGCCCCATCTCTGCGATCTTCCTCTGTTGCCACATGTCGACAGCCACGCTGCAGCCGCCGTACCACTGCAGGAACTCGACGAGGGCCACCACGGCCCGCTGGAAGGCTGAATCCTCAGCAGGGTACACCACAAGGACAGGGACGGGAGCCATGGGAGATGTAGGCAACCTTTTGAAATCTGATAATGTGGCAACGTTGGCTCCAAATCTTTGATCTGGAGAGTAGGAAGTCATTGGAAAGTAACGCTTAGTTATCTTCAGCACAGTGACAAACATTTGACATAACCTAGAGGGGATTTCTGAATTTGTTTGTGGTGAGCTCAAACTTGATACATTTCAGTACTTTCTTCATCTTGCAGGGGAGGCATATTTCCTTTGCAGAAAACAAGACTTTTAGCTAAAGTAGTTCAAGCTGAGCTCATTTTCAATGCGACAGAAAAGTCCCTGTAAATCGGTTGGGAAGAATTTCGCAAATTTCAAATATTTTGATCCAGTAGCTTTGTTACTCAGGACAGGTCCAAAGCATGTGTACAAGATTGGCGAGTGAACCTGTGGATCTGTCTTAAGTTGTTTTACCATTCAACATCTGCAATTTTGTGCCTACAAGGTCCTCTCCCAACTAAATGCATGTTTTTAAAGTGTTGTATTTACAGATCATGTAGCAGGAAAGCAGGATCACCAGACTGACCAGTCCTCCAAAAATGGCCGTTGCTATGCTGGTGAAGTGGACATTAACAGGGACAGCGTCTTTTAACTTTTCTGCAGGGACAAAGAAATACACACAAAAACAATTCCCCATTTTACTTCATGTAATTATATTGAGATTGTACTGCATGGCTTTAAGTAATGGTGCAGTCATACCTAAAGATTTGATCTCACCTGTGGTGAAATCTTAAAAAAAAAAGGATTGTTAAAGACAGAAGTATCAACATTTTTGTACTATACATTATATACACACATGCACCAGCAAATGCGATTGCTCACATATAGGAACTGCAGTAGGCTTTGGTGTAACACCTGAAAAAAATCAGAGGAGGTTTAAACATTTTACTCTTTTAAAAATGAAAATTTTAATAAAGTATCAAAGTAAGTGGAGAATTTAAAAGAACAAGAACTTACGCTTTGGTGGGTGAGGTATTTTGATTTTGACAAACTTATAAGCGAGCCCCCCCCCCCAGGGAGGCAATGGCAGATTGGCAGCTTCGATGGTGTTTGGGCCATACCTTGCATCTACTAAATAATAAAACCATTTCTAGATTTGAAAAGAAGAAAGTCATTGCATTAACCTCACATATTTCAAACTCATGTTGTTCAGACAATTGACTGATAAACACAGATTCCATGATACCTGCTTTGATCCACTGAGGTCTGTCTTGGCCAAAGCTGGATTGTAGATACAGTGGTAAGCAGATTCCCCCATAATCCTGATCCAGATGCCTGTCAGATATTTAATACTAGCTGCAAAGAGAAAGTTAATGGCAGACATCCTGCATGACTAAACACCGTTTGTATAAATAATAGATATATTGTAAATACCATGTTTTCTCATCTCCTGTTTACCTTTCCACACAATTTATCCCACAAGTGCACACACACACATACACACACACACACACACACACACACACACACACACACACACACACAATGAATAGTCTCTTACAAGCTTATTTTCTAGCAGAGGAAAAGCTTTCATAAAGTCAGCTTATTGTTATTATTATTGTTGTTGTTGTTGTTAGTAGTAGTAGTATTTATATTATTATTATTGTTGTTCTTTCTGTTGTTGTTGTTGTTATTATTTCAAAGTAGCCAATGGGTAAAAGGCCTCATCAGCTCTTTTTGAATGGCTTGTTATAGATCCATGACCAAATACTTTCACAGGTTTAGTTATAGGTCAGGGCGTTATCTATAACACTATTGTAATTTATAACATCATATATTATCTATAATAAAGCTCTGGACCCTGAAGATGCCAATACATATTGTTGCTTTTGCTCAAAATTCACAGCACACTAACTCTGTAATGACCATGTTACTTATCCAGTCACTTCATGCTCGTCTCCTCAGATTAAAACAAGCCCAACACCTTGCAGTTTGTTCTGCAGAACGAACAATTTTACATTTTCCACAATGCTTTTAAATACAAATAATACTTCTGGGGTACACTGCCTTAAAATAATCTATTAGGGTGTCTATATTTTAGAATTTGAGTGTGTACCAGCTACAATATATCAACATAAACGTTTTTACCTTCTGTTTAGTACAGTGTCAACTCAACCAGATTAAAGTCCTGTTTGAGAAAAAGAGGGGAGTTTCTGGGAAATCTCCTCAGTTATTTGATCAACATTGTAGGTGTAGCAACGTTTGATGTTTTTAGATAATGAATAATAATCGATAAGCTAACTTATTGTATTTAAAATATATATTTAATAATCAATTCTGAAGATGCCATGTCAGCAAATTACCCAGAAAAAACATCCCACGTGTTTGTATTACTAGAAAACAAGTGGTTCATTCAGTTCCATGTAAGTAAATTCAAGTGTTGTATCTTACCATCAATGTTGATTGCCCAGCTTATGTTCATCATGCATTTTTCTCCCTCCGTCACTTTCGCCACTCTCAGGTCCACCAGGAAAGACGGAGAGGTATCATTGCCAGGAGGGAAATCTGGAGAAACAAACAATGGTGCAATAATGTGTAGCCTATATTATTATTCTCTGAAATTTAATCAGATGTTGTCAGCTGTTTGAAGTGTAGACGTATTGTACTTTCAGTTGTGTAATGCTCAATGTAAAAACATTATTCACAAGAACTTGGAATGGAGCCACCTGCTTGGCTACGGACTTGCATTACATTTTTATTACATTTCAGGCAGACATTTCAAATAAACATCTGTTGTTTACCCCTGGCTTCCATATACAATATAAACTTTCTTTTCATAACAAATGTCTTTATATTCGTTATTCTTTATTTCTTAATCTGATGGGCTATATCAGGTAATGGAATTTCCACTTGAGTCATCCTGCTTTATGATCCAAGAGTTACATTTCTATCCAAAAGACAGAGCTGGCAGCTTTGAAACATAATAATAAATCAACAGTACAAAATGGTTTAGAAGATTGGTCTCTGCATTGGCCAACAAACACTGTTTTGAAATAAAACCCACAGTGGCTTCAAAACCAGCCACTACTATTATTAACTGTTAATTAGAGGTCAGACCTCATCCAGAGTATGGATAGTAAATTACATACCATCACTTTCATGACACTCCACTTTCTGCAAGAAATCACAGAAACACATTACTTGATTTACTTTTAATTTAACTAACAATTAATGGCTCATTTGCCAAAGTCGATAACTTACAATTTCATGTGATGTCACCTGGGCCGCGAGATAGTAGAGCAAAATCAGTCCGGCTCCCCACATCATCAACACCTGGTTGTACCTAAAAGAAAACGTAGAACTACAATAAACAAACCGAAAAATAAGGGATACGCCTTTACAATGCACAGCATCTGGCTCGTTACATCCCGTGCACTTGTTGAATGAACTGTCAGTGACTCGCTGGATTTGTTCCGTTACCTTTTAAGTAAATAGCACTAAGCCCCGCCCACAGCAGTGGGTCGCTTCGCATATAGACTTAGTCTCATAATCATAGTCTCCAGTTTCAGCGTTTAAATAAAAGGTAAGTTCTCTTTTCCTGCTCCTTATGTCAGTTGTTCTCGTCTGTTTTTGGTATTAAAATACTCCGGCACCACCTCGGTTTAAATGTAACATGGTTTGCAAGGTTAACTTTACATTCAGTTAACGCGAGGTATGTCCATGCCCCGCTGCTGTAAACTGCAGACGACATGAGTAACGTAACGGTTTACGAAGTGCCGGAAAAAAGTTTCTCAGCAACACTGTCAACAGCAGCCTGACCCGTGTGGAGATGTGTGCACACACTTTAAACGTCTTGGAGCATTTGAAATGTGTTTTAATCACGCAGAGCTGTGTCCACACTGTAGCGAGCTGTTGTCCTGCAGCAGACCTACAGACCGTTACACTGATAAGCGAACGGTTGCGAAATTGGCCTTTGATCGTAACATTTAGCGGTATTTTAGACTAACCATAATCCCTAAATTAGTGAAACTTGGAGACATCTTGGTAGTGCCCACTTGCTGTCGATGTTTTGGTGTCTCAGAAGCTATTTGCCGACATTTCAGGCTGTTTGCTGATTTCAGCTTATCGCTGAACCTGCTGCTGGCTGGTTTATTGCAGTGACAGTCCTGACCTACATATCCCGGCCCTGTCCTGAACGAGAGGACTTTTCTCTGCAAAGTAAACGCACCACAGAAAACCCTTCAATAAAAAATACAATGGCAGACAGTTTTTTTCAGCCTTTGCTCTGTCACCTTTTGATTCACTCTCTCTCTCACACACACACACACGCACACACGCACACGCACACACAATGACAAAAGCTTCCCTGTTGCTCAGTCAAAGTGAGACTGCAGCAGAGAGGAGCGATTCGTTCCTACTGCTTGAAAGATTTGTCCAAATATAATTTGAGCATTTGGTACAAATGAGCAATGAAAAGTTAGTAGAGAAACATAAACCGCTCTCCTCCACAGCAGGGAATAAGACAAGGCAAATAACCGCACAGTGGGGCGGTTACTTCCAAGGTGCACGGAGAAGGGAAGAAGTCTGAAGAGGTCAAAACTCCAGCAACACTTGTAGTATAAAGAACAACTTTATTGGGTCTGTCTGTAGTTAATAGATTTCTGGTTCTTTTAACTGCTTGTAATTTAAAAAAAAGTTTGAGTTGAGAAGGACAAGGTGTGGCTGAAGTAATGATTAATAACATGTCAGCCAAAAGGCTCTCCGTAACCCACAATTTGCATACCGAGCAGGACAATACGCAAATGTTACTTTTGGACATGTAAATGTCATTAGATGTACTAGTGACACTGCACCCTTCAATGTGTGTTGTTGTGATTTACAGTGAATGAAGAAAAAACCCTCCCAGAACCAGCATGTTGTCTTTGGCCATGTCAGGCCAAACTGGAGCCCGACGACTTGTGACTGCGACTCGAGGGAGATTTATGAGGGACGGTAGGTGCTTGTTCACCTGTTTGCCAGAACTTGCCTCCAGGACCAGAACCACGGGCCAGTCCTCTTCGCGATCCTTCTTCAACCATTACAGATGCTTTAGTGCCACAGCTGCTAATTGGAAAGCTTCATCAGCTACAGCCAATCAGAAGACACCGTCCTACAGTTACGTCATTGTTGGGGCAGGGTCAGCGGGCTGCGTCCTGGCTAACCGCCTCACTGAGGATTCCCACGAGTCTGTGCTGCTGCTGGAGGCTGGGCCGAAGGACATGTCGCTAGGCAACGTACAGCTCTCATGGAAGATCCACATGCCATCTGCGTTGACCTACAACCTCTGTGATGACAAGTACGCCAGTTAGATCATTTCACAAATAAAATATTTGATTTACCTTGTCATTCATTACTACGACGGTTCCCAGATGTGTGCAAACAAAAATGTGACTTTATGTTATTTTAGACTATTACAGCCACAATAAATAGATAATAATGGATATAAGAGTAATTCTAACTAATGAATCATCCATATATCACATTTAACTTATATCAACTTATTATTCCAGCATTTTTGAAATCAGTCTCCATATAATAACGTATTATTAAACTGTTGTTGTCCAGATCCGGTAAGCAGACAGATATTGGTCCCAATCTGATGCCGTGCTGTATTTGTTTTCATTTCTCCTCAGGTATAACTGGTACTACTACACTTTACCCCAGGCCCACATGGACAACCGGGTGATGTACTGGCCGAGGGGCCGCGTCTGGGGCGGGTCCTCTTCACTCAACGCCATGGTGTACATCCGCGGACACGCTGAAGACTACAACCGCTGGCAAAGGGAGGGGGCCGAGGGCTGGGATTACGAACACTGTCTGCCTTACTTTAGGAAAGCTCAGTGTCACGAGCTGGGAGAAAACAGGTACCGAACAACAATATCTGCTGGACATTTGTCTTTCATTCGAATGCTCTTGGGGTACCTTTTTGACTTGTGTTCAAATCATTTTAAGATGAATAGACCGAGTTTAAAGGGAACCCTAAGTCTGTCAGTGTTAGTTCTGCAGTCCCACAGACTCACAATGCTTCAACATGCGTAAATGCGTAAATGGAATGTAAATTTGTAGTGGCACAGTGAAGATCTTATCACATGGAGCCTAGCTGCAGGAGCATCACAGGTTAAATGCAATGCGTCACCAATCTAATTTCAGCACATGCAAATGAGGAAGGTAGACGGCAGCCCAGATATTAACATTAACTAGAATGATAAAGGCCTGTGTGGTCTGGAAGTAGATATCACAGGCGAAAGGGATGCGTGTGTTATAATGACAGACACAGAAATTAGATTTTATTATGTGGTACGTAGTGTAATTTATCAGAGACTTGAATTATCATGCCATGCATCCATGGGAAGATTTTTCTGCAGTGTGAGATTCACGTAATGCTTCCACGTAGTACTGCATCACCACATTGTGTCCATTTGTATGTGTTTGAACTTACAGCAAGACAAACACATACTCAGCATTTATGTTTTCCAACTTTTGTGGTGACCCTATCAGCTCTGACTGGTTGACTGCTGGCGTAAATATAAATGAAAGGAAATGTCATCTCATAAGTACATATACACAGCCGCCCTCCTGAAAGGTCGCGATGCTGGGAATTTAAATGATTAATGTCGATACAATAGTGATCATTGAAGACTTATACCCAGTTCCCACAGACAGATTGTTGCATTTTGAAAGGGAAAAGCTCTTATCTTCGTGACACATTCAATTTGTGTTTTGTGTGTGTACTGTAGGTACCGGGGAGGCAGCGGACCTCTTCATGTGTCCAGAGGGAAGACCAACCATCCCCTTCACAAAGCTTTTATTGAGGCGGGGCAGCAGGCGGGATACCCCTTCACGGATGACATGAACGGGCAGCAACAGGAAGGCTTGGGCTGGATGGACATGACCATTTATAAAGGTTAAAGAAAACATGAACTACTCTATCCAATAACAATTGAGAACACTTGTAACCACATTGCTGTATTTATACATCTCTTATGAACCAACCAATACATATTGTCCACATCTCACTGGCCAAATGTGTTCAGGAAAGAGGTGGAGCTCAGCCAGTGCCTACCTGAGACCTGTCCTGAGTCGACCCAACCTGAAGACGGAGGTGCGCTGCCTGACCACCAAGATCCTGTTTGATGGCAACCGTGCCGTGGGTGTAGAATACACACAGAAAGGACAGAAGAAAAGGGTAAGATGGAAAGAATTACCATCACTTTAAAAGAAGGGGGAAAGAACATTATATTGTGGAAGGTGATATACTTTTATTTTAAACACAAAATTGAGATGATCTTTCTCAACCATAGCGGTCAGAAGTTGCCCAGTGAAAAGCATGCTGTGCCTTGTCATGCAGCCACTAGCACGGACTCTGTTCTCTGTTCTGACTCTGTTCTCTCTTCAGGTGTTTGCAGATAAAGAGGTGATATTAAGCGGAGGCGCCATTAACTCCCCTCAGCTTCTCATGCTGTCCGGGGTGGGAAACGCTGATGACCTGAAACAACTCGGTATCTCTGCGGTTCAGCACTTACCAGGTAACTGAAATGAGAAAAAAGGGAAAAACTTTCCAAAAAAACCTCCTTGAATTTATTTCAGAAAGCAGGTTGTCACGTTTTTGCTAGTTTATTTGATATTAGCACATGAACACATTAAACACAGATACACACTGACTTCATTGACGGATTCATTTACACCCGTTCCATGCGTACAAACATGACCGGTATTCTTGCCTCTCTTTGCCTTCTCCTCTGGTCTCTGTTGTTTCTCAGGTGTTGGCAGTAACCTGCAGGATCATTTGGAGTTGTACATCCAGCAGCAGTGCACTCAGCCCATCACCCTGTACAAGGCCCAGAAACCTTTCCACATGGTTAAGATAGGGCTGGAGTGGCTCACTATGTTCACTGGTAACCAAAGGCACCCACACATGCATGTGTGTAACACACACATTCTCCCTAATGTCCTAAACGCTGCCTGTCTGATGACACCGTGTCCCACCATCTACCTCACAATCACAACTGTCCCCTTAGGTTATGGAGCAACATCCCACTTGGAAAGCGGAGGGTTCATCCGCAGTCGACCACATGTCACACACCCCGACATCCAGTTTCACTTCCTGCCCTTTCAGGTCATCGACCACGGTCGAGTTGCCTCCAAGATCGAGGCGTATCAGGTGTGTGCTTAGGAAATGGTGGCTGTTTTTTGTGCAGGTGGAAGATGTAATGAATGTGTAATTATTAATACACAAGTTGTTTCGGTTTGACTTCACGTGGGTGTGTGTGGGAGCTGTCAGGATGGTTTAATTGTAATATACAGGTGTACGTGTGTCTGTGAGTGAGTGTGTTTGTTACCTGTCAACATTGCGTCAGATAAGATTCCAAAGTACTCCTGTACACTCTGAAATCACCACACGTTTAGTCATGACTAGTTAGATAAGACCCTCACGTAATGCACAAGACACAGAGAAGAGTTTTATAGTCCCATTCCACAGAAAACCTTTCACGTTCAATAAACCAACAGGAGCTTCCCAGAAATGTCCTGAGAGGTGGCTTAGTGACATTATTCATAGGCTTTTTTCCAGACAAGGATACCTTCCAGGAAAGAGTTAAGAGTACATCGGGAAATGAGGCTTCTATTGAAGTGCTACAAAAGGCTTTGTGTTTTTTGTGTTTAAAGATAAGCCGGGTTTGTTTCATGAGTTGATGTGTGCAGAAACAAAAGAATGGCAAAAGCAGTATTACTGGAAATGGCATAATGGGTAACATCTGTATAACATCTGTGAAATAACAATGAGTCTGAGTTCTGGACTTTCCTGGAAATATGTGTTGTTGTTTTTTTCCTCTTGCAGTGAAATAATATCTTCTCATCGTCTGTATGGAGAGAAGGAAGTCTAACAGCAAAGTACAAATGGCATGCAAGTGTGAATCCAAAACATACCACATAAATGAGTGTTTCTCTTTGTGTTTTAGGTTCATGTCGGACCAATGAGGAGCACCAGTACCGGCTGGATGAAGCTGAAGAGCGCCAACCCTTTGGATCACCCGATCCTCCAGCCAAACTACCTCTCCAACGGTAAGATTCAGTCACTGCACGGTCTAGTACCAAAGTCAGAGAGCATACTTTCTGAGACCTGCTTGGTTGTGAATGTATGTGAATGACACTTCCCTCCGAAGGCTGATCATTCATTTGCAAGGATCGTTGTTATTGTTATTTGTACTGTATTCATTATCAATTAGCATCAAGTGTACCTCAGTAATGTGGGGAAATGATTTTGAGAAGGAGCCTGGAGTTAGGTTGAATAGCACACTGCTGATAAAAAAGCCATTTTTTTATTTATTATTTCCATCTCCTCTCAGATGTTGATGTGTTGGAGTTCAGAGAGTGTGTCAAACTCTCCAGAGAGATTTTTACCCAGAAGGCCTTTGATCCGTTCCGTGGCCCCGAAGTCCAGCCCGGTCCCGAGGTCCAATCCGACGCCGACATCGACGCTTTTGTTCGCCGAAAAGCTGACAGCGCTTACCACCCGTCCTGCACCTGCAAGATGGGCTCGCCATCCGACCCGATGGCGGTCGTCGACTCCAGTGCGCGTGTCCTGGGGCTCGAGCGGCTGCGTGTGGTCGACGCCTCTATCATGCCCAGCGTCGTCAGCGGCAACCTGAACTCCCCGACCATCATGATGGCGGAGAAGGCTGCTGACATCATCAGAGGCCGCCCTCCTCTCGTTGACCGCGGGGTTCCCGTCTACCGACCTCCGACTCTCAACACGCAGCGATGAACAGAGGGAACGAGCTAAAGGTTAAACAGTTCACAACACTGTGATCAGCTTCTTCTGTGTTTGATCAGGAGCTGATAAATTTGCCCGTGATCTGATATTATACATGAATAGTGTTGTGTTGTCTTAACACACCTGATTTACACACACAAGGTAACATTTCAGTTTTAAATGTGTAGTCACAGGCTAACAACAATTATGAAGGGCTTATCTACGCTTTTTTAATTATAATCCATAATGATATGTTGATTTTAGCTGTTTACATGTGAAATTCAGTTTTACAGTATTGCACTTGGTGTCCTGACAAGGAAACAGTGGCTCTGTCACTTCCTTATGTTTTCATGATTTTAGTGTCCATTCTAAATTACAGATGTCTTTATTAACGTTAAAGCCAGTGTGATGAACAACCTTCCTGCCTCATTGTTATGACATGAAGTCCAAACGCACTGAAAACTTCGGCCGCAGGCGTTTTGAAGAACACCTACTGTTTTAAAAGGCCAAGCACGCAACAAAAGCGCTGTGTGTGTCAAAATGCGTCAATTTGGAGCGTCAAATGAGGACCCAGCGACTAAAGCTGTTTTTGTTTGTTTGAAGAGAGATAAAACACTACTACTGTTGCTTTCACTGGTTAAAATGACAAACGTCACATCAGCTGTCACTACTTAACGTAAATTCCGTTTGTAACTTGATGGCCAGTTGGTGTGCTCTCTGCAGGAGGTCTGTACTCAGATTATTTATGAGCTAAGAGAAGCTTCAATGTGTAACACCACTGTACAACTGAGTGGACTGCGTGTTTTTGTAGTACGAACGACTTCAACAGAGTGATGCCTCCTCCGTCTAGCGGATAATAATGATGCTGAGCAATTGCAACCGCACTGTGAACCGAGTGGAGAATTGCTTTCCGGAACATTTGACAGGCTGACAACCGTGCCCGTGTAAATTTCAAGATATTCCACCCCCCTCACTGTCGCGTCTGTGCCTCAGCGGAAAGATTTTATCAGCAGGAGCAATTGCAATCAGATGAAGCTAATTTGGAACAGGTGTTGGGCAACAGCAGACTCAACAGGACTGGACTTGAAATAATTAAGTATTACAGCTCACATCTTTTAGTTGCCTTTTGGTTTAAGATAGTCTGGCAGCTGTTTAATATAAGTAGCAATACATGCAAATAATAACTCAGCATATCTGGCTAGTGTGGTGCTGAAATAATCTATAATGTAGCATATACTCACAAAAAAGCTGTCAATGTCACTTGTGTTTATACATTTTTTCGTAGCGTGGATGTTTACAAAGAAGCTTTTGAAGAGTATTGTGTTTAACTGGTCAGATTGTACCACCTGTGCCTGTAACATCATTGTGTTCTGACGTCAGAGTGAATTACTGCAGTATGTTAATGACGAAGTGTGTTCGTTCAGTCCAGCCAGGACCGATACACATTGGTGTTGAGTACATTTAACAGCCTCTGACCAATCTTTGATTTAAATTAAATTAACATGTTTTTACTATCAACACTAATATATGCAAGTGCTAGAATGAATTCAAATTGTGTCTTGTTGAGCTTTGCACTACTCTATTAAGTATCTTCATTACAGTGACAATTACTGTTTGCATTATATGCAGTGCTATATTACATGAATGTTTGAATTATTTGTGTCCTAATGAAGGAGCAACACTTTGATTGTAAAGGGAAAATGATCGTGGAACTTCTTACAGTCTTTATGTATTTTATTGTTCTTGTGTTAATTGTAAACAAACACTGGAAACTGTCCTGACCTTGTCCTCGCGACTTTATTCAGTGAGCCTTACAAAAGTTCTCAGCAAGTTCATTGCCAAGAATTCAAATGTACAAAACAGGGTTTTTGTTTTCCATTGGTACAAAATCTATAAGGAACTAGTACTTGTGCTACAGAGTAGATAAGAGTTATATTTCTTTGATTTCCGTACGACTAAAGGGTAGAAAGCAGAAATCTTCACTTTTTACAAACACTATACAGATATTATACATTGTTATCATTTCATAGACATCTGTTAAGCAGTGGAACGGTACGAAAAAAATAAAGCTGTCAGTTGCACTGTTAAAGCTGTCAGTTGTTTTCGTCACTATGCTTCTAAATGTCGATGCATTTGGATTCTTGTACTGTGAATAAGCAGCAGATGATTATTTCTACTGGTGTTGCTGGCTGTTACTTAACCTCTGTTTGGTTTTATCCACTCAAAAGAAATCTGAGACTGGACAAATTCATGTTGGTCAATCAACGTTTTTAACATATATGTTTGTAAAAAACAATAAATGATAACACTGAATGACGAATTCCTTTTCAATTAGTGTTTGATTTAGTAATTAGTGTTTCTCCCATCGGAGGAACCATCTCAATCAGCCCTACGTTGTTCAGGGTGCTTTATTGGCTCCTCACAAATGTGTTTCAGATGGCTATGCAGCAAATCTACACATTTCTGCTTACAGCATGTGTGTAATATATGGCTTTTGAAGTGTTCTTAATTCTTCTAAAATGTTTTTTAAAAAGTTAGTAGAATCCGAAAAACGTTAATATCAAACTTCTGGCTGTATTGACACAACATTGAGAGATTTTAAAGAGGTAATTGTGTGATTCTTGATTATTTGTTCAGATTTCACTGCTAATCATCCAACACTGAGGGGACTTGAGTCACCGATCACTTATCAGAACTCAGAATTTAGATTACGATCAATTACTGCGACATGGTATTTAAATCAAAATGTTTCACATGATTGCTTCTTTAAATATCTTTTTTTTTGTAATTTTGTGCAAATACAGCCTTTGCCACAATTGCTTTGACACCCAGATAGTTACAGAGGTAATAACAATATCTTTCAAGTTTTTCTTAGTTTAACACAATTTACATGCAGTTAGAAAATGCATAAATCCTTTTTATCAGCTGAATTGTCCACTAAAATCTGTATGCATGTGTTTATATATATATATGAAGAATGAATAAGTGCATTTACAGTACATACGAAGAGCCTTTCAGACACCAGCTTGGGTCAAATTAACCTATATATTTACTATTACTATTTATTCTATGCAAGAGAAAAACCTTTTCAATATTGGCATCAACCTTTTGTCACACAAGAAACAGTGTGCTCTTCTTTAGCAACTTAGAAAAGAAACAAACGACGAATCTGGAATAATAATTGAATATTGACGTGCGTGTAAATGCACTTAATGATCCCTCGTTTTGGTTTTATATTTGAAGAAGCCCTTTGATTGCACAGATCAAGCACGTTGCCCAGACAACAGTATTTAAATTCAGGGAAAAAAAGAAAAAACAGATTGCCCTGCCACGGCCCAGTGTTGGTGTGTAATAGTTGCCCCAAAGACATTATTACAGTTGGCAGTGTTGGAGAAACACCGGTTGGTGGTGGAGCAAAAGTGAAGAACAGCAGGTGAGAAATGTTGCCTCTCTTTAGTGCTTTTATCTGCGAGCTTCCCCTCACAGACAACAAGCTGTTTTAGACATCTTGTACAAAATCCTACAAATAAAAGGCAACATCATTTCATTCCAAAAACACAAATATACGGAATTAATATATAGTCAGGAAAGTCTCCCTGTCTGTTGTGTCTTTTAAAATATACAACATGTCGACGGTCAGACCTTTGTGTTGGAGATCTATGTAATAGTCTGACTCATCATGAAAAAAGCACTCAGGTGCCTGAGGAGAAATTCCCCGTACTTTCATTGCTGCTAAGCAGGTGAAACCAATCAAATGTGATGTGGGATTGACAGGAACTGAAATGGCCTGGAAGCAGAGCTGTTAAAAAGGCCGAGCCACACACATGACTACAGAAAGATGTGAGGCAGACGATACTGTCGGAATTACTTTCTGCTACAGCATAATAAATAAACATTTCCTATACAGCTGCTGTTCAGTTATGTTCTCAGTGCAAACACTCAGTTTGTCTTATGTTCATAACTTCACTCATGTTCAAATAGTTTCAAGCAGGTCTGAGAAAAGTGAGACTTTGCATATTCTGGGGGAGTTGGTAACAATGAAATGGTCTCTCCTCCATCTTCAAGGGGCTTCGATAAAAGTTAAGGATCACTATGCAAACAAGTGTGACATGGAACTTTCATCCTAAATCTTCCTTTATTTTCAGGGTGTTTAAAGGGATCATGTTAGTGAAATGGGTGTAAATTAAGTCTCTAATGTTGGTGTAAGGGGGGGGGGGGTATGTTTCTGTTATCAGTGTGCATGTGAGACAGAAGGATATGCCTCAGGTCAAAGTCTTTTTTCAGTGATATGTGATTTCCTTTTCAAGTCAAGTATCGAAGACGAGCAACATTTAACCCTGAAACCTGAACCCAGATCTGCCTGTATATAAATATATATAAATGTATATATATTTATTTGTTTGTGTTATTTGAGTCGTGGAACATAGAGGAATGTAAATAACCAGCATCTGTTATCATGATCACTAAAGATTAAAATCACACATTATACGTATGTACATGACATAAAACTCCAACGGAATACAGGGAACCTTAGAATCATCGGACAACAAAGACATTTTGCAGCACGACAAATGCAGCTTTGCAAAGCCAGCTTCAGTCTTTCAGACATCGGTGTGTTTAGAACGGTGACTAATTCAGTTTCATTGGCTCTTCACGTTGAGTGAATGGTGTTCCTTGTTTGTACAAAGTCGCACAGTTTTAGTCAGAGCAGCAGAAGAATGACAAAATGCAACAATTACGGAAGTAATCACCCTCATCTAAAGCCATCAAGGTTGTTGTTTCATTTCAAATCCAAGTGCTGCAGGACAGAGTCAGAATTGTCAAAATAAATATTATGAATAACCAAGACAGACCGCATACCATCATTACTATCAACTCTCAGTATTTTACCAAACTGTCCGGCATTCAGCAGCTGGACTTGATCCTCAATGGAATTTGTTGGAGAAGTTAACGTGGCGAGCTCTGGGCTGGCTTTGCGAGGCTGGCAGGTTATTCTGTTAACAAAGGAAATAGAAAACACCCTCTGGGGAGTATCCTGAATTCCTGCTAAACGACAGGCAGGCTGGCGAGTAGATTGGTTCCCTCTGGTCTCAACATTTGCTGAATTTATCTCAGCTCTTTCACATCTGTTTTTCTCATATCTCCTACATTTCCATTCTGCACAGAAAGAGAAAACAAGGCACTTTGTTCTCTTATCCATCCATGTTCTACATGTTCTGTCTATTGCAGGAGAATCCTGAACAGAGACGTCCACTCACTGTGGAATAGAAGTAGAAATTCAATTGAAAAAACCTAAATAATCCCGTGTGAGCCGCTGCTATAGCGACGTGATGCATATCATCTCATCTGTTAGGTCCTCCTCGCATTTCAGAGCCACGTACGGCTCTTCGTCGCTGTAGTCACGGATGTTGAGGTCTCTAAGATCCGCGTTGGCATGTGGGTCCGTGATGGCGCTCCCCGTCCCCCCAGTGTTGCCGTTATCCATACTCCCGTTCAGCAGGTTACTGGCGGCACTCTCCATCTCATCAATGGTCATCTCGCAGGCGTCTGCAATTTCATGTTTGGTCGCTGCCACAAACTTGGGGTCTTTGGCGTATTTCCCCAGACCCTCACAGATCAGCACCTGAGGACAAGTGACACATAATCAAAGCTGAAGAGATGAATTTTTTTCCAATAAATTCACATCAAAAGTCAGCTAAATGTGAGATTCTGGCGGTCGACTCAGGAACATCTGGATTTTGTGTGCATGTGTGTGTGTTCTTGAGACAGTGGGGTCCAAAGACCTCCAAGGGTCCTCATGGGGGTCTCAGGAAAGTGTAGAAAAACACTTTAATTTCACTGTAGAGTTGAAACAATCTATGAAGCTCAAATGGTCAGTTTGTCGATGAGGTGGCAGGACATACAGTTTCAGCTTCACAAATGCTAAGATTATCTTGTTGCTTTCTGGTTTCATATCATCATGAAGTTAATACTTTAATACTCTTTTGTCTGCATATCAATTCTAAGAAATGTTCAAATTAAATTTGGATGTTTGCATCCGAGCATTGGTCATTATTATCGACATCTCACAGATTAAACGATCAATCAAAACAATTATCAAGAGCTTATTCGATATTACCAAAGAAATACACAAATAATAGAATGACGCTGATTTGATGATCTCATACCTCCACAGACGATCAATGAAATCTTATCAAAGCGGTCAAAGTTAGAAATGATTTGTACTCACAGCCTCCACCACACTGTTGGCGCTGCCTCTCTTCTGCAGTATGTGTGAGCAGCATTCTGCAGCTAACTTCAGATGTGACGGAGAGTGGCTGCGGCTGGGAGGTCCGTCCTGGCCGTCTGTATACCACGAACTCCTCTTCACTGCTCCGGGGATGCTGCTGATGCTGCCGGGGCTGCGCCAATCCACCTGAGTACACACATGCACACACACACACACACACACAGGCAATTTGAAACAACATGTTTTGTCAAAAGACACTGATCGAGATTCTTCTTTTATTCGTCAGGTATCAGATTGGTTTAATTGATGTCAGACATCAAAGGCATGATGAGAACATCAATAGTAAAAACAGCTAAATGAAAGATTGTAATAAGCCAGTTGTATTTCTGTGTTTATTTCATATTACTGAACCAGTCTTTTCATAAACATAAATGAGCAGGTTTATCTTTAACATGTCTTTGATCACACAGTGAACCACACCTGTATGAGTGGTGTGTAGCAGGGCGAGTAGTCGCGGCTGATGGGTGAGGCAGGAGGCGTGACCCAGGAGCAAAGCGACCGTGTAGGAGACAGACGGTGAATTCTGCTCGCATCGAAACCGGCCACCGCCATCACCTGAGGTTCAATCAATTGCACCCGGCATTTTTGGGTTGGGAGAGGAGACAAAACAGGTCTCTTACAAGTGCAATGCTTACCTTTGTAGCCACTGCATTTTGTGACAGTACTGTTTATTCATTCATCACGATATTGACAAACAGAAAAAGGTGTGTGAGTGTACCTGTTGCTGCACCAGGTGTAGTGGAAGAGCTGTGCAGGATGGAGAGGGAGGGGCGTCATCCTGACTACTTCTTCTGCGGAGACACTCAAAACTGAATGTCGGTCTCTTGGAAGCTGAGAAAACAAACAAGAACCAAAAATGGTCACTCTCTGGACTCCAACTCTGGTTACATACAGAAAAGTTAATACAGTGACAAGTATTCAAGATCAAAGTTAGACAAAACACAAGAAAAGCTCATTTTACGCACATTTGTATAATAACCGTACACTCATTTATTACAATGAACTGAATCTGAATGACGGTAACACAACTTGGTGCAATACATCTTTAGAGTTGAGTCAACAATACTGAAGGAGCGCCAACAAAATTCAATTTGAACTACTAAAGTACAGTTGATGTGCTCTTGAGCGTCACCTTGGGGTGAGGGTAAAAGCCACCTCCTGGGTGACCGCCTCTCAACATGGTAGATCGGCTGTTGGTCATCATCATAGTAACCCTCAGGCTGGTGGTCGCCCCTGGAAGCCCCAAGTTCAAAGTCTCCCTCTGCATCACGGTGGTCCTTGTTGGACAACCTGTGAATCAAATAGATAAAAGATATTTTTTAATTAAGTGATGTAGCCAAAAAAATTCTCTGTTTAAAAAAAAGTAAATATGTAACTCTAATATGATGAATACAAATATTTGGAGGGGGGAAATAAATTGGAAACAGGTAGCGATTGACTTCATAGTTATGTTGTTACTGGTGAGCATTCTGACAGTGACGCACGATGAACCACAAGTACTCATTCTAGATACGTTCTACATCAATTCTCAGCCACAAGAAAATACTTGTATTAAGTCATACTAACAAGATACAATCATGGCGGCAGTATTATATTGTGTGTATTGCAGTGTGACAGTTTTGTTGTGAGTGTAGCAGTCCCTCATTCTTTGATACTTGCTGTAATTTCCCTTTTCCCCCAAATCATTTTAGCTGAATGTCACAATTCCCCTGAGTTAATTGGAGGCTCATTCAGATCACCCGTTGACTGGCTTCTAATTAAGAATTGAAAGCAGCTTGGTGCATTTCCTCTCTTGGCCAATCAGGGTGAGATGACACCCTTTCTTTAGAGCTTAAGAGAAGGGGGGAACTGTACTTAGGACATTCCGATCGACTCAATCCAGGCTTCTTCCTGATCAGCTGAAATCTGGGGAATCAGTACGGTCACACAGTGTTTCCTCATATTATTTCAGGCTGACAGCTGCTGTTGCCATCACAGTACCTGTCCTTTGTGATGTCGTCTTCGTGAAACTCCTCCCCGCTGAAGTACTCTCCCGAGCCTCGCTCTTCATCGCTGTCTCCACCCCCCGGCTCCTCTCGGCGAATGGTGGAGTAAAGCCCACGACCGCTTTCTGACCTTGTATCGTAAAGTCAAAGACGCACTGATTAGTGCAAATTTGACAATTATACATACGTAGGAACTTCATGTCCCTATCGATTTTCTTTATTCGTAGGAAACACACACATTAATACTCCACACCAAAAAAAGGATATTGACAAAGGACGGTAACATCATGCACATACCTAATGTAGGCCTCATAGTACCGTGTCCTGCTCCGAGGAGAGGAAGTGGGCAGTCAGACAGACAGGAATATTTGCAACAGGAGATCAGGAAAGGAAAGGGAAGAGGTTGCATGCAATGACAAAGACAAGAGGACAAAAATGAAAGCACTTTCAAAAATAGATTTTTGCACAGCCTGAATATTATGTGAATGGTTTCACTACTTTACAAGCTTATTGTTCCAATACATACAGATGAAAATACTGTAATCTAAGTATTAGTATATGCTATATATACTAATAAGTTAAGTACATTTGTAGAGCCCAAATCTCTAGAAACGTTAGGATAAGCACCCTTTAGCTGGGGGTGAAATAAGACAAAAAACAAGTCCAAACACAAGCTTTTAATATAATTCAAACAGACTTTTGGTAAGATTAGTTATCTCCACCAGGACTGTTCACCTCTGTTTCTGTCCACTGCTAATCTTGCATCAGCTAACTGCTGCAGCAAATTCCAGACTATTTTGGGTGGCCAGTTACGGCTGCTCAACGACTCCTCGTGGTTGCGGTGACCCCCACTTTCTCAAAATACCCTTTGCCTGTTTTATACTGCTATTCACTGCCTGCTGACTCCTCACTCACTACTTATAAGTGTCCCCCTGCTAGTAGGGGCCGTTGGGAGAAACTCTAGGTTTAGGAAAACTGTCACGAACACGTTACCTCACAACAACACTTTGGGACACAAACATCGATCCCTTGGTTGAAAGTGCTGTATTTGTTTGATTTCTGCGGTGAAACTGAGTTGAGTACGTGGTCGTTGCAGACACACCTGGTGGAGATCTGCACTCTACTGAATGCACCTTTCTAGCTGTGTCTGTTGTATAATTATTCTATATCAATTTAGGTAGTAAGTGCTTGAATAGACATTTTTTTGATTGAGCTCATATGTGCTTGCTAACTGTTCTACTATGGACAATTAAAGGTGAATGTTAATAAGATGAAGTCCTGTACAATAACACTCGCAGTGGGAATATGGGTATACACTGTCAGGAGGGGGGGGGGGGGGGGAGGTATTAGGTGATACTTTTATACAAAAGCTATTTGTTGTGATCATGCATTCATCAAGGGAATGTCTAAATTGAAGCATGACTCGTTGCAACCTCTGGGACAGGAAGCAATACCCATGAAGATGCTCTTTTGCAATCAGCTGTAGAAGAAAATGTGATGCCTCTTAAATTTATGAACTGAATTTTTTTTATATTACCTTTGTATTTCTGCCATTCCTGTGTAACAGTAACCTCTGTGTCGAGAGACAATATTCTACATTGATTAACAGATCTCGGTGTGAAGAGAGCCCAGTAAGAGGTCACGCCTTAACTAATCAAATCACCTTTGGCTTTGTGAAGCAGACCTGTATTGAACCTGTGCAAATCCACAGACAGACCTGTGAGTTGGGTTCTCATACCCCTTTTTGTTTAACTGTTATTTCCTGTTGCTGTGTGGGAGGAGCTTTGTAAATAGGGGGATGAACAAGGTTTGACATGGAGCAATGAGATCTGCTCATGCTGAACAGGAGGCTCGGGGGAAGCCCTTTGTCTTTTATTGTTCCCTGGACGGTGAAGTCGGACTGGCTTCAATCAATATCCCAACATCACTCAGAATATTTTATTAGATAGATCTGAGACAATTCATTAATCGTATTGAAATATCACTCAGCCCTAGAGAGCAGTTTATCAACATGGCTCGTCTCAAACTGCTAAACATGTATCAAACTGACTTTAGTTTCTTTACTCAATGAAATTTGATATCAGATCTCAATCATGTAACAAAAATGTGAGCATCAATAAATAGATAATACATCTGTGACTATCATAAGCGATGCTCCCGAGGCTGCTTTTGTGTACGCAAAACAAGGTTCTCCTTTTTAAAGGGGACCTCTACTCTGGGGAGAACTACTGCACATGTGGAAACAAGTTGTACGAACCCTTTTTTCACTGACCTTGTGGAGTGTGACTTCCAAAGCTTGTCGTGTACTCCTTTGCTGTAAGTGGACGCTGATGATCCATTTTTGGAGGAGGATGGACGGTCTCCCCTTAACAAGCACTTCTGCTGCCTCCCATTGGTCATGGAGAGAAGTGAGGGCACGTTGGCATTGTTGAGGTTGGCATTGGAGGGTATTGGCGATTGATGGCAAGTGGAAACGCAGTGAGGATGATTATACGGATGAGGGGTGTGATAATTATGGTTATACTGGATGGGCGAAGAGTTCATCTCCGTCTCCTCTCCTCTGTCGGCGTCGCTGGCTCTCCTGCCTGTTTGGGTGGGTTCGGTTGAGGCACTACACGAGAAAGGCAGGATCTGTAGCGGCCGTTGGGTGACAGTGGTCGGGTGAAAGCAGCCTTGCTGATCAGCACTGACATGGTTCCCAAAAAGGCTGCCGTTATGCTGCAGAGAGACAACAGAAGCCAATGAGGACTGAGACAAAACAGCTTAATAGTGACAGTGAGCTGTTTCAAGTACAACGATACGCACAAAGAGAAAAGGAAGTTTTTCCTGTAGTTGATGATACAGTGCTCTTTGAAGAAAGGGTTCAATATATTACTGTGGCTAAGATCCATCTCACATCTGAAGGTGTGCCAGGTTCCTTTCTGTGTTAAATGCATGAGTGATATGCACAGTAATACATGAAACTTAATGATGAGTTTCACTCTTTCAGTTCTTATACCTCCATCAGAAATATGACAAATAATACTAAATAATAACAAAATTTGATGTTGTAAAACCAACGGAAATATAAATAAAGGTCCGCACACTGTAGCTCCCTTTAATTCATTAGCACATCCTTAAGTGACGTTTTGAGCTAATGCTCTTCTTCAGACTTGTATGTCATGAACGGTAAATTATCTGAGAGCACACCTAATTGGCTTCATCTAAGACGAATTGGGACGTCTGAATCTTACAGTTTTGTAAATAAAAGTATAAAGAATATCAGCAGACACCTCTCTTTGAAGTGTGGAATTAAAATAAATAAATAATCGGTCTGTTTTAATCAGCTTTATTTTGGAAATGTGTCCCTTTTTAATAACAAAAAAAACTAAAAACGATAACCAAACTAAAAATTCTAAATGTCTGAAGGGCTTCTTCAAGGATGTTTACCCTGTAGATTTCCTCTTCTTCCTCTCCATTGTCATCTACTAGCCCCGCCTCTTGCAGGTCACATGATATGGCTCTACGGATCTCTGGTCCAATGTCATGCAGCGTGCGCAGGCCGGCCTGCAAACAGAGCAGCTATAATATCGAACCTGCCAGCCGCTACGTTCCAGTTTTTTCCAGGTGTCAGCATGTCGCTGCCCAGACTTTTACAGATCCATAACAGTGATAACAGAGTAATCCATAAAAGCTGATAACATAGTTTCAAAGGCAGATGGAGCACATCTCATATATTCTTATCGTTTTGAACTATGTGGAGCATAAAAGTAAAACAAGCACAGTTACTTTTTAAGGGTCACTTCAGCCAGACATATCGTCTCACTTACTGTGGTATCCATCATGCAGAGAGTGTTATTTGTCCAGGTTACTCTGGATGATTCGTTGTACTTCACTCACCTGTAGAGCCATGGTTGTGTTCAGTCTCTCCCACGAGCGCATTCCTACAAGACCTTGCTCTTTGCGCCTCTTGAACTTCCTGAAGTAGTCCTGTATCAGGAAGGTGGCATAGAACTTCCCCACTGTTACCTCGTCATCTGAGTGAACAGACCAGACACACCAAAGCCTCCCAGATCAACACCAAAATATACTGAAATACCTCAACAACACACCAGCACACACACACACACACACTTCTTCAGAAGCACATCAAAGAAACTCTGGTCTTTGTGATTCGTCTGTACGTAATACTGTTTGTGTCGACACAGAGATAAGAAACATTCCATTCAAACTTAAAAACAGTGTAGCTAGACGTTATTCTTGACACTGTTTAATTTTCATAACTTGTGGTGAAGTTGAAGTGAAAAATAACATTTTCACACGAAAATGTGTGCAGCAGGTTTTAACCCGACAGCAGATAAGATCTATGGCTGCAGCTCCCATCTATGACAACATGTATGTGGTTATGAAAGGCTCCTCTCGCGCGGAAAAACAAAACCCACACATGCGTACGCAATTGCTCATGCAAGCGAAAGCAACATGTTGAACTCTTGAATTCTTAATGTACCAAACTCAGACTTTAGTTGGTGATGAGTTTATAATACAGTCGTTTATGACTGCATTGTCTATAAGTCTAACCAGTTACTACCACACATACCAGCACTACATCATATGGCGACTGCAGAATTTACTACATTCAACATCCACCCCTTCAGATACGGACGAGCGGAGGTGTTTTATATCTCTATATCCTAGAAAAACAACATGAGCTGTAGCAAGAAGCACATGCAACAAGGCAGCAAGAAAGAAACAGCAAGGATGATATCTATAGCTCCCCTCTCGAGGGCGAACACAGAAACAACATTTAGAACAACAAGAATCTGTGACTAAACACACTATCTGCCATGCAGGGAGGCTAATCAAGCGTGGGTCTGATTCACTCAGATAAGGTTGCTGAAGCAGAATGGGGAGAGAGACTAAAGGAAAAAGCTGAAAGCCAGTGCGTAGGAAATGTGGGCGTTTTTTTTTTTTTCATCATCATCACCTTTCCTAGAACCATTTTAGCCTTCAAATGAATCGAGTAAAGGTGACGAGTGTCTGTAGGATGGATGCTTTAAGATGGAAGCAGCATTCCATCCGGATTTGACGATCCATCTTAAAGCAGACGCATTTCTCTACGTCACCCGACACAGCCAGAGAGAAACTGTGAAAGGCTCTGCTCAGAAAGAAAACCTGTGAATAAAAGCGTATGCAAGGTTGTAAAAATGTTGAATTTCAGATGCGCACGAATGCATGGGCCGATTATTTATCAGTTTCCTGATTTCTGTTTTTCAAGCAAGTGATCTGCATCATTTTGAAAGTAGCCGAGTTGATCCTAGTGATTTTTAGGAATGTGTTTAACTGACTAACTTGACAAGATGGAAAGATTTTATTTTTGATCAACCTGGTGGGAGAAGATCAATGTACAGAACATATTGTGCCCACATACAGGTGGCAGCTGCTTCTATTTCTGGGCAGAGCCTGATGAAGTTTTTAAGAAAGAGGTATCAGTAGTTTCATGCCACCGGACTAAAACAGAACTGCCCCAGACAGTTAGGACGGCAGAAAGAGAAGAGAAGAAGGCCAGCGACTGACTGAGGACTCTACTGAAAGCAGAGGAAGCTGTGGAAGAGACAAGCTTGGCAGAAAAGGCTCAACAGAAAAGAAGGAGAAGAGGGGTTAGTAAATGAACACACACAAAGACATGCAGATGAATCAAGTTTGAGAGCTAAAGCATTGTAAGCATATAGTCCCTGGAAGAACTACATGAGCACAAGCATGAGGAACCTGTATGAACATGCTGGACTCATGTGTGCCTATCATCAGCACTCTATTTCAAATAATTCATTGTGTAAGGTGAGAGAATGATCCAAAGCAACTACCACGAATAAAAACTACAGCTTTCATTTGGACACACCTTGTGCTTGACCATTGGTAGCTGATGCATGCAACTAAAGTTGTTCATAAAGGAAGAGCACAGTTTACTTTGCTGTCAAGGTTTGTGCAGATCCTTTTCATATACTTTGTCTAAAGGAAGTGAAAACGTAGAACCAGACACAACGAGATCAATGATAAACAAAAGTAGAATTATGACAAAAAACGCCGTCAAAGTTTCTGTGAAACGAGGGGAAAGTGCTGCTCTATCTCGGTTTTGGTTAGCAAGCAGGCCTCGCTGCTTCAGTATAGCAAAAACAGGATGCTGAAGGTCCCTCATCAGCTATTTCTTAGTGTGATGCGCCTCCCAAAATCGTGCTTTTGTGTATTAAATATAACCACTATGTAGACTATAAAGGTGGATTTAAAAGTTTGCAATCCGCAGTGTGCAACTATTGTCAATGTAGAGTCATGTTTCAATGGATTCTAATGGTGACACAGTTTCTCATCTTAGAAAGAGTACCAAAGTCTTTGTCCAAATTTCTACAAACCGTAGTCAATTTTCACATTGACCTTTGACCAACAAATTCTAATCAGTTCAACTTTGAGAGCAAGTGTATGTTTGTAAGAAATTCGCTCAAAGTCTTCCTGAGATTTCACTTTCACGAGAATGAACAACCTGAAAACATAATTCCTCCAGTCACTTTAACAACTAAGAGCCACTTTTAAGCGTAGGGTGGACAGAATACCGACGATAGCCGTAATAAATCTCTTTAACTCTCACTCCTTCTCTGAGGAGGATTCAGTTATCACACCAAAATGTTTTGGAAATGAACTGTTTGTGGTGTGATTCTTTACTGCTGCAGTTTCCAGTGCCAAAAAACTAGTGAGTGCACAGTCTGCACAATGAACATCGTTCAGCAAAGGAAACGTGTATAAATAGCACTGACTTCCTTATTTAAATTCAAATTAGGGGAATAATATATATGCATTCAAATGCATGTCCATTGTTTGACACCCTTCCTCCTTCTATACTCTAGAATACTTTGCTGTGGGACTACCAGGAAATTTAACCTTAACATATGAGGTTGCCATTATTTAATTCTCTGGAACATACAAATGAGAAGCAGAGTGTATTCAAATCCGCTGAGAGACGGAACGGTACAGAAGAACAGAGGCACGCAGTGAGGTTTCTGTAAAGCAAATGAACCGTGGTGACCATGTGTTTCTATGTGTAGGTAATGATCACTGACCGCCTGCAGGGGGCACCACTTGGTCCAGCAGCTTCATGCTTGTCCTTTTCCAAATCTTCTTGATCACAGCTCTAAGCTCCTCATTGGCTTGATCCAGATTACCTTGGAAATGACAGAAAAAGTGGAATGTTTAACTGAAAAGTCACTTTGGTTAAAAGCAACGAGTCACTGATCAATGAATTGTTGTATTAAGGGGTATCTCGCTGAAAGTAAAGTATTAAGTATTATAATTCCATCTCTTACATTTACATTTAAAGTTGCAATGAATACACAAAATTCCCCCATGATAAACTAGTTACATGGGATTAAGATTTGAATGTTGGGAGCCCTGATGGCCATGGAGGAGAGATACTTATTGAACACCTATAGCTCCCTCTTGTGGCGAAATGTTGAACTGGAAGACACCAACTCAGTGAATAGGGGACTATTACTAAAAGTCAAAGATGCATGACATGACATTAATTAAAAAGACACTACATGAGGCATCCCAAAGTAAATAATTCAGAAGAAGGACAACGTGTTGAATCAAATCTTTTCCAATATTTTTTTAAAGATCTGTAGACTTGTTTATGTAAATCATTAATGACCACATAACATTTAATGCTGCAGCCCAATGAGGAAATCAATCAATACATCAATACATTTCAAGCGCAATGGAAATACAACGTTGGCCACCCAATGAATAATTTTGAACAAAGTGGCCCGTGGATGAAGGTAATTGCCAGTTTAGGAATCACTAGCCAAAGTGCTAAAGCCTCTCCGTCCACAACACTGTGGATGGGTGCTGTAGTGGTTTCTCTGGGCTGTTATCTCAAGGAGCTTTTATGCCACGAGGCTCCAGTGCACACAACATAACACTCTTTGACTCATACAACTCAAAATATCTATTTCATACTGTAAGTCCCTCTTTTTTGCTGTACAGAATGACAATGCACAGCTCAAAAAAGCTCAACAAAATAACATGGATCCATAAGAATAGAACCAAAAGTGTTGCAGATCTCTTAATTACTTAAAAGTCTTGACTCACCCTCAGTCTTAATCTTAAGAGCAGTGCGGACCAGAGCAAACAAGGTGGCATTAAACATGACTGTCCCATCACTGTTGAGGGGCATGTTCATCGCCACTAGACGCTGCAACAGAAGTACAGATTATGAAGGATGCATCAAAAGTGAAAAAGCTAGTAATCAATGTGTTAATGATGTACGAAAACTTTCACGTGTTTTTGTCAACATTCACCACATGCATTTCTCTATCTGTATGGGTGTTAGTGAGTCGTTATGTTGTCGAAACCTACCTTACAGGCCACTCTGTGAGGGCAGAGCTTGCCAAAGCCCAGCGGAGGCTGGATCCTCCTCAGCAGAGTCACCACATCAAGGTGCTTTATCCTGCCCCTGGCAACAAGATCCATTCAAATATAAGGCACTTTACCAGTGAGCAGCACAGTCTTCACTGCCACTCAGGTTCTGATAACTAACACATCATCAGTTAGTGCACCTCAGATGGTACGGCTGTTACCAAACAGTCACCATCCCATGTGTACTGACACAAATATTCCTTAGCTGTAACGTACAGTGTAAGGGATAGGTGAACTTCTGTTGATAGTTCTCTCCAAATGGTCCTGAGTACTTACTTGGCTTCAGGGTCGTATTCGGACCAGATCCTTTTAAACTCATCCAGGTGATGCGGCCCAAGAATGGACCAATCACGGGTCAGATAGTCAAAGTTGTCCATGATGACAGCAACAAACAGGTTGATGATCTGAAACCAGGATATTGCGATATTTTATTGTATTCAGGAAGGTGCCTGCTCAAGTCTGTGCTCAAACATTACTGCTACCACACACAGTGACATGATTACCAGGAAAGCACAGAGCATGTAGAAGGTGATGAAGTAGATGATGGCGAAGCCGCTGCCGCAAGTTCTCTCCTCTCCGGGGTTGTAGTCCGACTCTGAATCACACAGCTTCCCTGGCAGACAGGCCAGCATGATCTCCTGCCAGGCCTCACCTGTAGCACACCTAACATAGAGCCAGAAGCATTGATACAGGAGCAGGATGAGGGGTTTTCCCTCATGCATTTATGCATTTGTGAGGACTTCTAATGGCTGGTAACCAACAACTTAAGCTACACAAACACCTGAAGAGCATCAGGACCGCTTGAGGAAAGGTTTGAAAGTTGTTGTTGCGGTTGATTTGAGTTCCATCCACCATGGCTATTTTCCCAAACACCTAGAAAAGATAAAGAAGCATTAGCCAGCCTGCTCTTAACTTCTGACAAACATTCAAGACAAACTGGAAGGTCACTCAGAGTGCAAACCTTCGCAAAGGCCATGCCTTATCTCGCAACATTAACGCAAGTAAAAACAAATAATTTGTGTATCCGACCTGTGATTCAGGTCCGCTCCAAAATTGAATAGGTTCTTCCTTGTCCCATGCTACACCCTTCCACCAAGTGTCATGCAGGGTGTAAAACAGGTTACATTACCTGCATCCCAATTACAGCATAGATGAAGAACAGCATGGCTATCAGGAGTGCAACGTAGGGAAGAGCCTGGGTGGGGAAAAAAGAGAAAAGAGTGAGACACTGGAATCTGCAGTATCTAATTTGACTGAATGCATCGTCAAACCCCTGTTTCAGCACCAGATCCACTGGTTATCTTGATCAAATCTTGTACAACTAGCCCCACCTGTTGCAAATAGTTTGTCCTCTTATCTTACTATGCTACACAGTTTCTTCAGACCTATATCAGAACAGCATAAAATTAAAAAAGGCTCAAAAAATGCTACCCATGAACTGTGGTTATACCGGTTAAAAGCAAACCCAGAAACCAGTTTAAGAAGGTTAGATCTCTCACCTTGAACCCTAACTTGTGATAACAAGTGTAATCTCTCATCTCATTGGTCCATGACATTGCAGACTCAAGAGAGACGTCACAGTCTTACCTGGAACGACTTGATGAAGGTCCACAGCAGAGTCCTGATGCCCTCCCCCCTGCTCAGAAGTTTGACCAGTCGCATCACTCTGAACAGGCGGAAGAAGGTGATGGAGATGCGAGCGCTGTCCTCCGTGTTCTGAAGTGGAGGACGTAGAGAGTAATCAGGGGATGAGGAAACCGAGGGAGTAGCATCCAAACGCAGACAGTGATGAAGCTCCGTACCACTCATTCACTCATGCAGTCAGTCATGCATACATTTGTTCAGTCATCACGTGGGAGTCATACTAGCTTGCCAGCAACCTTAAAGTAGATGAAAATCAGTAAGAAGAAGTCTTCTCATTTGTGATCTTTCTGCATCCTTGCAATGACAACAACCAATGTGCATGCAGAGTAGCTGTCTTACACACAATGCCATGACCAACAGACCCGGAGGACACACTACATTTAACTCTGGATGATTCAAAACAGGCAACATACAATCTGTAGTCCAAAGACAGACAAACCAAAAGACAAACTGTACTTGTGTTTTTACAATTGATGCAAACATCGAAATGGATCTTGTATTGTCACGTTCAAATACAAGAACACGGGACATTTGACGAGAAACGTAAACTCAAAACAGTGCACTGACAACCGCAAACACTTGGGCAAGCTACGTTGAAATGAAGAAACAAAAGACCATACAGTGTTATCTGTCAGTCAGTGTCATGCCATGCACCCAGATAGGTCCAAGTCTCAACAGACAGAAATACGTCAGTTCAACCATGAAACTGGAGCCAAAATGCAACAAACCAGGTAGATTCAAAACAAGACTTTGACAAACATCGAGAGTTCAATCACAAACCATCACACGGTTGAATAAGTGAGAGCATAAAGCATCTCAATGTTTTCATCAGTACGTGAGCGACAGAGTGACAACAAAGAGATCTTGATGCTGAGTGATAACAGAAGATGGGCTTTGATAATGTTCTTACCCCTGGCTCCACTATCACCTTGACGACAGGAATGGCTGCTGACTTGAAATCAAAAGCCTAAAGTTAATCCGAGATACACAAACCAGCGGTACACCCCCAAAATGTTCACGAGTCATCGTGACCTTTTGATTTTTTCAAAATACAATTGCTTTAAAAACGCTCGGAAGCACCTTCACTTAAAAACAACAACACAGCATTACAATGAATACCACGAACAGGAACATTATCATTTTAAAGCCTGTCATGCAAAAGCTTTTCCACATATTCTCAACAGCAACACCAGACATAAGATGCAAGCATTCAGTGCTGACAGATAATGTGTTCTTCACCTAAATACTGAATAGTTTAGCTGTAGACATTGACAATAAGGAGAAAGCACTGAGACGCCTTCTTAAAGGAAAATGCTGACATTGTTTGTTTTACTTGTTTTTTTTCTTCATATTCCAGATGGCCATGTTGTGGTGAAAATATTTGTGTATTGGAATGGTCCGATGACATGGGGGTGAAAATAACAAGAGCCGTCTGTATGTGTCCTCCAATCAATCATGTGCCTGCTTCCCTCACCTCAGTCTCTGCTTTTGTGCACTGATTTGCTGAAGGTGAATATCCAGTCTGAGTGATTTTTCTCTCAGATGAGCTTCGCCACCAACATGCTCAATTGGTCGAAAAGCCCCCGGCAAGGGCTGACTAGTGCCAACGGTGCGGGACACACCGCAGAAACTGCCACAAAGGCTCACAGACAACCTGACATTGGCCAAAAGTCGATCATCGGAGCCTTTAGAGAACTTTCTCTTCCTTTCTTTCCAAGCTACCAGAACGTGCTGTTTTTAACCCACTGTCTGCTTACAAAACAACCTCCTAGACCCCCACTAATCTGGTTTTAAAGCAGGCTGCTCAACTGATAAGGGCCTCTTTGCAGTGACAGTGCTGCACGCTGCCTTCAGACCTCTGCTACAAGTCCTGTTTGCTGCAACCAAAACAGTGAAACACCAGCTCCTCCTCTCCACCCTTATAGGAGTTGGCGTCTCAAGCTCTGTAATCTCTCCGTTTGCATCTTACCAAACGGGTCAGTCCTACCAGGAGACATGGATCTGCGTCTGAACTGCGCAGCCTCCTCTTCTCCCTTTACACAAGGACGCTTAGCGCTGTCGTACACTTGCATGGCTTCTCCTACCACTGTTTTGCCGATGACACCCAGCTATTCTTGTCATTCCCCCATTTTTTGCAAGTATCCAAATATATGGTGGCTGTGTGCAGGAAAATATAGATTTGAAGGAAAAGGATAACCTGAGATAATGGCTGTTACCTTTAAAAAAATGTAAAACATAAATACACTGGTATTTTATGAGTAGTTGCAGAACTATACAGCACTAATTCAAGTGCTGACATGCTCTTAGCGGGTGTATGTATACCTGATGCTCTAAGTCATACCTTCAGGCCTTCTGTTTGCAAAGTTTATGTTACACCTTACATCATAGGCTAGAGTTTTGATCAATGATGGTGTACAGTGTGTTCTTAACCTCAAACATTCATTCAAAGCAAGAGACTGACCGGACAAACAAACATGTTCATATGTACAAGCAAGAGGCAAGCAGTCAGTGTTAACAGCAGCTGCGAACCAGAATACAGAGTGGCCTTGAAGTAGAAGTACAGCAGATTCAAAGGAGTTACAAGCGAAAACAGTTTGGTACAAAATTATCACATTGGAGATTTTTAAATAATAACTGAGCTGCATTCAAAAACAACAGTTCCCAATACATTTGGAAACTTTTTTTACCCGCTATTTTATCAATTAATTGAGCAAGTACTACGATTGGGACACAATTAATATATTATTATAATATATATTTTTGATAAATATAATCAAGAGATCAATATTCAAATACTGTCCATCTACTGTATTTTCTCAACCTGAAGTCTTTATTTACACCAGAGGTGAGAGACAAATTATAGCATCATTAAATATCACAATACAAGTCATCTTTTTTTCTTTACTTCTGTTTAGTTAAAGAATGATTTAATGTGGATAGGGTTAGCGTCACGGTTCTCATAATAAACTTAAACAACATTCGTAAAACAATGTTATTAGAATTTTACAGTATCATGAGACTGTGGTTTTATGACCGATGACAGAGTTGTGAAGAGCAGTAATTACGCAAAAAAAAAAAGAGCATTGTGATCTTGAATGCAACTCTGATGATAGAGCAAGGCTGGGAGTGTCAGAGTGAGCAGTAAGACAGGCTTGTATGTGTGATAAATGACTACTTACATTGATCTCAGTGATGGCAATGTCAACCACGCTACCCACAACAATTAAGGCATCAAACGTGTTCCATGCATCAGCAAAATAGTTCTGCAAGCACAAGCAACAAAGACACAGAAAAGAAGAAGAGAGAGACAAGAGAGCGAGAAAGAAAAGGTAAAAACAAAATAAGCATTATGAAAGATAGAGAACATCAAAAAGTTGTGATTAGATTAAAGAGTGAAGTTGAAAGTCAAGAGCCAGTGAGAGTATTAGCTTGTTTAATTTATCCAAATAATAATTTGAAAACTTAGCTATTTTATATCATTAATTAACTATCTGTCATTAATCTTCCATTTCAAACTTCATCTTCTACTCCCACTGATGCAGTGGCAGGCTTAAAGAAATGGTCACTATAGACTTAAAACTGAACAATTTAACAAGATCTAATCGGTATGGTGCAGTGGTTTCATCTAATTTATGTGTTGGCATTTACCACGCAGGGAATAATCATGTATTTTGTCTATGGTACTCATCAACCATTAAGTCCACAACAGATTCGACAGACTTGCTCCAAGAGCAGAAATTGGCTCAAGCCAACCTTAAAAGATAACACAAAAATGAGACAGGAAGGAAGGAAAGGAGGAAAGATGTGAAGGGCAGAAACAACAGAGCAGCAGCAGTGGGAGAGCGGGAGGAGGGAATGACAGAGTTGTACATACTAACGTCGTTCTACCTGGCTGAGTATGATGTCGACTACACTGCCAATCACGACCAGGGCATCGAAGACGTTCCAGGCGTCCCCGACATAGCCCTGATTATGGCAGCATGCACAGCCAGCGGGAGGAGAGGGGAAGGCAGGAGTGGAGGTGGAAGCAGGAAAGTATAAGAGGTAGAGAGGTTACGGTGAGGAGTAATGGAAGGTGACAATGAGGATTAAATGGAAGTGGAGTCATAGCCAGTGGGCAAAGAGCCCAAGAGAAGAGTGTATGAGGGCTAGGTTACAAGGAAAAGCGGAGGGCTTTGAGATAAAAGGTCAAAAACATGAACCTTATTACGGATAAAATATAAAGGGAGATCTAAAAGGAAAACTACAAACGAGATGATTTAGGGAACTGGTGGTAGTTTTGAATATATTTGTATACGAGGAGAGGAGAGGAGAGGAGACTTACTCTGGGTTTGAAGGCGATGAGCTTGAGGATCATCTCCACAGTGAAAACCCCGGTGAAGACCATGTTGAGGATGTCCATGGCATAGTTAAACAGATGAGATTGACCATGGTGCTGGAAAGAGACGGGCAGATACACTGATCAGAAATATAAAACAAGAACACAAGTACTCTATTTACAGTGTATCAGTGCCACACACTGTATATTAGGTAGAGATTCAATCTGCAATACATTATTGGAAGAAAGGTCATGATACCCATTGCTACAAACAAAATGATGTACACTACAAGGAGAGTAGATATTTTAAAGGAAAAAAATATATTTTGATGGCTGTTGAGGAAAACAAGAGAACAAATTGTATTCCGATTCTAAAGAAAGGAAGTTGGATAACTTTAACTGCATGCAGCATTGTGGAAATCCAAACTAAATCAACCTTATTGTGCCCGTTCCCAATGCATTAAGGTGAATGAAGGGCACTCACCTGAATGGCCAGACACAAGGTGTTGAGGATGATCAGGACAAACATGACGTACTCAAAGCCAGTAGAGTTGACCACATACCAGAACTTGTACTGGTATGGGTTTTTGGGGATGTAGCGCCGCAGAGGACGAGCTTTAAGAGCATATTCCACACACTGACGCTGCAGTGGTGGGGAAATGTCGAAAAACAGAAAAAAAAAAACAGACTTATCATCAAGAGAAACAGGTCTTCTTCTGTACACGATACAGTCACTATTTGGACCAGTCAGTAGTGAGATCCAGTAGAAGTTTCACCACGAACTTTTCCTTAATCTAACCAAGTTGTTTTGTTGCCTAAACCAAGCCAAGTTGTTTCATGTGAAGACAGAAGTTTATTTTGAAAAGACTGTATTGCTTGGAAAGAGAGGAAATTAACAAGTCTTTCTGGACATTTGTAGGGAAATGCACAAAAAATGAGGAATAACTTTTCATAAGGTATCATCAGAACCGTTGCAATGATACACCATTAATAATTTGACATGAACAGATTTTTCCAACTAAATTTGAAATGTTCAATAAAAGCACCAATACACAGCAACCTCCTGCACAAACACACAAACGTCAAAGGTCCCGCCTACCTGGTTCTTGTCCAGCTCGCAGTTCTTGTACTCCTTCTCCCCCTGCTCCTGAAAGGTGACAATGACGAAACCGACAAAGATGTTCATCATGAAGAAGGCGATGATGATGATGTAGATGATGAAGAAGATGGAGATCTCGATGCGGTAGTTGTAGATGGGACCCATGTTCTCCCTGTTGGAGTCGATGGCCTTGTAGAGTAGACTGCATGGACACACAAAAGGAAGAGGAAGTAGAGATAATTAACAGTAATTATTTATAACAATTCTGCTAGTTTCATTTGTTTAAATATACTGTACTGAAAAAAGTGGTAATGAAGCATTTTCATTCAGACAGAGATAAAGGTGAATGATTATCAAACATTAAATAAATCTTGCCATTATTCTACGTCTTGGTAGTCAAATCTGAATTCTAGCTCAGGGCCAAAGCAGTACTTACGTGGGCCACCCTTCGAATGTGGAGACGGTAAAAAGGGCCATCATGGCCATCAGCACGTTGTCAAAGTTGAAGTCGCTGTTGTACCAGATCCTTTCTTTCACCATGGGCAGCGCCGTGTCCCCGTTGTTGTAGAGAATGTAGGTACCTCTGTGATTTAAAGATGAAATATCAACCACATGCACAGAGACACTCATGCAGGCCAATGTCCAAAAGCTGGAAACGATAAATAAATAAAAAATATGAAAACTCACTTGCAGTCTTCTGGACTGGACTTGGCGTCATCTGTGCAGCGATAAAATTTCCCCTAAGACAACAGAGAAAGTCAGAACTGTTCTTTGCTTACAACCTTCTACTTCTGTTCAAACAATATCCATTGTTTTACACCAGAGGAGCCTGTTGATTTTGGTTGTGACCCCATGACCCTCAATCTCTCTCTCTCTCTCCACTGTTTCCCTGTATACCTTGAAGAGCTGGACTCCGATACAAGCGAACATGAACTGCAGCAGCGTGGTGACGATCATGATGTTGCCGATGGTCCTGATGGCCACAAACACACACTGGACCACATGCTGCAAAGGACACACACAATCGTCAGTAGGAATACACAGTACTGTATCATAAGCAAATGCGCAGGCATCCACAATTACAACAGACACACGCCTACAGATACCTTCAGTCCCTTGGCTCTGTTGATGGCCCTGAGCGGACGGAGGACTCTCAAAACGCGGAGGATCTTCACCACTGAAATGGCAGAGGACCTAAGGAAGACAGAAAAACACACAACGGTGGATTCAGCTGAGCAATTGTAACGGCATGTTGCCGTAGATACATTCCTTTCAGCTCTGCCACCAGCAGATTTATATGTCATGGCAAAACTACCACAACTGCTCAATGATACATGTCAACGTTAGAAAATGATTGAAGGATACTTACTGGATGCCAAAGGAGACCAGAGACACACCAACGACCAGCAGGTCTAAAAGGTTGAAGTAGTTTCTACAAAACGCCCCTTTATGAAGAAACGCTCCAAACGCTGTCATCTGGACAGAGGAGAGACAACAGTCAAGACTAAATGAGACAGGTCCGCCATCATTCAACACATTCACGGGCAGCTTCCAATTAGGCTGAAATGGAATTGAAATGACTGTTATTACTATTTAAATGATTTGCTCCTATTTACAGTGTCAATTTTTAAAAGACCATGTTGTCAGCACCAAGATTTGTTGAATGTTGCATTTCCTTCATTTTATATTGCCTTACAGTCGCATTGAATTTGTATTTCAATCATGGGTCTTCATGACAACAGTGTACAGTGTAATTTCATCTGCAGTTTCCCAGTTTCCTGCATTGAAATTGAGCTGTTATGTTATGTAATTATGTCACTTAGGGCACGCACACACAAACAGATTAGTACTTCTAATATTGTGTAAGTGACAATAGTTTCAAGCAATACTTCTTATATGTTTGGTTCAATATTTAAAAATGTTGCAACAAAAAATAAATTGATATGGTAAGCCTGGATTCACACTCATAAACACGTATAAGGACTTCAAATCAGAGACACATACTGTACATGTGCAGTGATGCACACACACACATAAATAGACAGATCATATATGATGCAAGATGGTCACACAAGACACAGGGAACATTATTCAAAAGCTACTACACTCATTTCCGGTGCAGATTAAGCGAGCGACCGGGCCTGTAATCCTCTCCTGATCGAATTTTAGGCTTAAGCCATAATACATGAGATTCACCTGGTACAGGCATGCAGTGAGCAAAGGGGTACTGCAGAGGATTTACTTCTAACAGCAAAAATAAAAAAATGATGTTCCTGATTTTGTTGATTTGTTCAAACACAATATTTGGGAGTGCAGTAGTCAAAAAAGACATGAAAAAAGGGGGCACAGCTGTGTGTACAGTATGCAATATAAAAAGGAATATAAAGCTTGATGTCAGTTCAAGTTCAAGTGCATCCCATGCACAGTCTAAATATTTCAAATCCAACAAACATAATTCTAAAAAACAAACCTGTTTGTTGTTCAAAATATGGGTTATATATTAACAAAGATTCAAAAAGTGTCAAAAAATGATAATGGCTGGTGAAAAGTTTCAAAATGCCACCAGTCAAAGTGCCAATCAAGCATATTTGTTTTCATCTTCAGAAAGTTAAAAGAACAGAACCGACTGTAACATTTGTGCCAAACAAGTAGTCGTAGTCTGGAGAGGCACATAAACTGGTCGAGGATGAAAAAGGGAAGTGCGCCATAATGAAAAAGTGACTGACAGACAACAAAATGGCTGACAAAAACTCGTGATCACCACGTTAAACGGACTGGCGCCATGACAACAAGACAAGCAGGCGATCATTTCAACCAAAAATGATCGAGACAGAAATGAGGGGAATGAGGAGAACGCATGCAGCAAGCTTGGAAGTGATGGGTTGCTGCGGAGGCGGCGCAACAGTTTTTCTTGTTTACCTTAATAAGGATCTCAAATGTAAACATACTAGTGAAGACATAGTCTGCATAGCCTAGGATCTGAGGAGGCAATCAGAGTGACATAAGCACGCAGGGTTACTGAAGCGCTACCCAGCACAGCACAACAATAAAGGGCATTTACCTTCAACAGGATCTCAACAGTAAAGATTGCGGTGAAAGCATAGTCAAAATAACCGAGTACCTGCAAGAGGCAATGCACAAGTTCAAGTCGTCAAGTCATTCCAAGCTAACAGCACAATAAGATCCAATGAGTGTATATGTATACGTATATACTGTGTGTATATATATACACACACACACACACACACACACAGTAAGAGTAACACTGATGAGAATAACTACTGTTATATTAAAGCTGCACAAGGCAATATTCTCATGCAGTATAAAATAAATAATCATACCGACGCAATTACTGTTGGTCACATGTGTGCGTTAATACAACTACCTTTCTGCCCGTGTACTTTGTGTGTCTATGTTGCTAATGCAGGTGGTAAAAAGTCATATTATTTGAATGTCATTCGCCAAATCATGCTTCCATAGGCCTTTTTCTTCCACAACAGACACTTTGACAAGACAAGTGTTACTGATAACTTTAGAGATGGATCTGTCTCAATCAGCCATGACAGTATGCACAACACCAGCACCCAGGATTGATTTTATTTTTTTGCTCCTGTGCTTTTCTTACTGTGGCATGTCGAAATGTGTGCTGTGAAAAACTTGTATCGTCAGCTACAGAGAGACAAATAAACTCTCCAAATATGATAAACTCAGCCTTTTGGGGCAGTCAAAGACTACGGTCCTAGTGGTTGTCCACGTACGATATTGCGAGCGGAGAAGTTGCGTATTGGGTCCTCAGCAGCCAGAGAGATGGAGCTGAGCATGATGAAGACCAGGATTAGGTTGGTGAAGATCTGATGGTTGATCAGCTTATGGCAGCACACACGAAACCTAAAGCAGAGAGAAAACCGAAGAAGGAGATATGGAGACAGAAAGACACACAGAAGAGACAGATTATGCACAGTGAGTGTAACAGCAAGGCTGGTTTTGTGACACATCTTTGGTTTTAGCTTCTTGTCTCTGCTATTCCTGAGTTGTTTCTGTTATGTCTGTCACACTGAGCCGATAGACTGGTTTCTGTGCCTCCGAGTCCATAACAGCAAAAAGCGTGTCCGAGACTCACGGGTTAGTGCTGCTGAAGATGAAGAAGGCGCTGCCCACCGGGATGGGCAGAGTCTTTTCTTTGACGCTGAGTTCAGACAGCCTCGTAGGGCGGGGCCCTGGCAGGACTTCGGGGAGGACGCCGTTATCGTCGTCATCATCACAAGCTAGGAACAAAACTAGAGTTATGTCCAATCCTTCTTCATATGAAAACAGTCCTTCAGTTGTATTTGTAGTTTCATTACTGAAGAAACCAAATTCAGTGTTTGTCATTGTCTTGGTATGTGAGGTCTTTAAAATGAGATCTCCCTCAGACTGAATTAAGAACTTTGTTTTATGTTAAATAAAGCTGTTCTCGGTACCGCAGGCCTTCCACCTCGCTGCATCTCGTCAGTAGGAAAAGCTGAAATTTGTGCCACAATTCTAACTCAACTCGACTGTTGGTGGTGAAATAACACCAGAGACGTCTACCTCTGATTTATATTTTTGTTCAAACCTATAGTCAATCACAACACCATGAAATTGGATCAATTGATGGATTAATTGTGGACCCCTTCCACAATGTGACACATGTGACTTCTACCTGGAGAGTCGATGGCAGGATATGACTCCTTGTCTTCCTCCAGCAAGACCTCGGCTGGTACCTACACACAGGGATCAGGTTTAGCGTCATAAAACTGTACAATTACTAAGAAGAAAACTATATAGATAGACACCTTAAGACAGGTGGTCTGTTATAAACAAAGCTAGTTTCTGTCTTTTACCTTGGTCTCTCCATCCTTGGCATCTATTATTTCAACTCTCTTCTTGTCAGTGCTTGTATCCCTGTTAGGGACAGATCAAACAGGAAGTAACTAACAAAGCAGAAGCCAATAAAAAGTGCTTGTAACAAATGTGACAACTGTCTACACAAATGATCAGACGAGAACAGAAAATAAAATGTGAATTATTTAGGTGTTCGAAGCTGTACTTGGCGCTGTTCTTCCTCTTCTTGGCCTCCTCTTCCTCCTTCTGTGCCGTGTTGAGGCTCTCCGCGTCTGCCAGGTTGTCAACGGCGATGGCCAAGAAGACGTTTAGCAGGATGTCTGGTCATGTGACTTAAGGAGAAAACACTGAGCCACATGAAAGACGCACCTGGGCTTTAAGAATATAGAGACACTTTCTCACACAATCAAGCGTGGAAATGTGTACGTGTGTGTGTGTGTGTGTGTGTGTGTGTGTGTGTGTGTGTGTGTGTGTTATTGTGCCCAGAAGGATACAGTTTCCACAGATGAAGAGGATGATGAAGTAAATGCAGACCACCATTCCAGAGGAGGAAGGACCGCCGTACGCCATGATACCATCATACATCACCGTGTTCCAGTCTTCTCCTGTCAAGATCTGGCAAGCACAACATACAGAGGGAGCGTGACAACTTACAACGCCAGATAGACAATAATGTGAATCCTGAACAAGCTTCTCAGTCACTGTCATAATTCTTGCAAATCGTACCTGGAACACAGTGAGCAGGGCCTGAGGGAAGTTATCAAACGTGCTCCTTTTGGTCACAGTTTCATCAAAGTTGAACTTGCCCCCAAAAAGCTGCATGCCAAGCAGGGAGAAAATAATGATGAAGAGGAAGAGCAGCAGCAACAGGGAGGCGATGGACTTCATGGAGTTGAGCAGAGAGGCCACCAGGTTACTGAGAGACGCCCAATGACTAGAGGAGAAGAAATATAAAACAAGTTAACGGAAGGATAGACACACCGAATGCTAAACACAAGGTGTGAAGGTAATGAGGGGAACATGTAAAAATGATAATACTGGTTAGACAAGGCATGAAGACCACATTCTCCTGCATCAGGCGTGATGTATACGTGCTGTATTGACTAGGTTGTCATTTTTGACGCTGTTTTGCTCACCGTGTAACCTTGAAGATCCTAAGGAGTCGTACGCAACGGAAAACAGAGATGCCCAGCGGGGACATGATGGCCACCTCCACCAGGATAGTCTCTACGATGCCTCCGCACACCACGAAACAGTCAAAGCGGTTAAACAGCGACACAAAGTACGCCTGCAGCCCCAAACTGTACATCTTCACTAACATCTCCAAGGTGAACATCGCCAGGAGAACTTTGTTGGCTACGTCTGGAGAGAAGAGGACTTACTTTAACAACAAATCCTCAAACATGTCATAGTTGAACAAAGTCAAGAAAAACTGACGGGAATACATGTTTTACAAAACCTGAATAGAACAGAATAGAGCAAAAAAAAAAAAAGATACCCTGTACTTTGGTCAGCCAGTCCGGCTGGTTGTAGTGCTCAGAGGCAATGGTGAGTGTGTTGAGGAACACCAGGATGATGACCAGCCAATAAAACGACACAGACTTCACAGCTACTCGACACTTCCTGCGGCAGAAACGGTTCCATCGTCGCGACTGACGACTGACAGACAGTCAATAGTCAGGATATGTACGGCCAAATTTAGAAGAGTTCACTTCAAGAAATACGACTTAATCAGCCACAATAAAAACGTATGTTTCTTTCGTCGAGAATTACATTGAATCTTACCAATTTTGGAAATAACTCTTCTGACTTTGGATTTCATGTCTATGTATTTGATTATGTTTTCTCACATATACAGTTATACATGAAATAACATGAAAGCACAATATCACTGTAAAATATGAATTATAAAGAGTACTGGGTGGATGTTAGGTGAGTAAACGGGGGGGAAAAACACAATGATGAAACTGCAGCAACATCAGGATAAAGACTGATTGGTCAGATACAAAACATGACAGACGTCGGAGCAATCGCAATAAAGTAGATGAAAACATCGGGGATCTGAGCAATTCAAATACGAGATAAGAATGAGTCATGCAAGATGAGTTGAATCAATATGAATGAAGAAGGCATCAACCGTGCAGTATCATACAGTACCAAGGTACTAACCTGCACTTTGACTTAGTAATTTTTTGACTGCGGAGGATAGAAGATGAGGCAACTTGAAATAAAATTGCAACAACATGTGTGATTGTGCACTCTGTATTTGAGTCACATTTTTAATATGTACAATAGCCATTGTGTCTATCGACTGTCCTTTATTAACCTCTTTTTTTGGCTCATCATAGCAACAACACTGTATGTCACACTCACCATAGCGGCCCACAGCAGGGTGATTTGTTTTCCTCTCCGTTGTGATTCTCTGTGTTTGCCGACTCTGTCTCACTGGGCATGCTTGCTGTGGTACACACACACACACACACACACACACACACACAGACAAGAATAAGTAACGTGAGACTATGAGGTGCCAAGGAAACAAAGAGGTTTAGGACATAAAAGCTGTGCCCTGAAGGAAACAGGTTTCCCCAATAAAATTTAAATTCTACTAGATTGTCCTGTTGACACGCATTAATTTTTTGGTTTGGCTTGGTTCCTTATTTAGAATTATATTAGACTGAAACTATTATAAGACTCAACTGAAAAAAAAGCAGTTCTTGTAAGCCTTCACTATAAACTGCTGAAAAAATATTAGCTCATAGGTCAAGCCAAACCACCGGAAAACAAAAAATGCAGGTGTAAATAGAAAATGCTGGCTTTAATAAAAGCTAATTCAGCCAGGGTTTCCTAATTTACAGAATATAGTCGTTCTCGAAGAAAGAGTATCTAACAATATCCAAAAATGATGAATTCTAAGGTTCCTGCATAGATCAAGTCACAGTGAGCACATGCTGCCAGACCTGAGTCAAATTGGACTTTGTAAATAATTCTTGTAATTTCTTTAAAGCATTTATCGAGTGGAAATATAAATATTGTTACTCATATAAAATAGTTTAATTGTTGAATGTTGAATCTTTTCAGTACTGACTGCGTTGTCCAGTTGATATATTTGATCAGACTATTTGGTCCAGGTCTGTATGCTGCAACAAGTATTAGTTACATAGTCACAGGGTTACAGCGTACAGTATATTGGAAATCATATATACTGTACATGCATTAAACATATTTTTTTAAATGACAAATGAAAGGAAAATGATGGTGATTGGAAGAGAGATCTGTACACAAATACTTTGACAATTCTGTTTATTTCCAGCCCAAAATATAGTTAAAAAGAGATTAACTGAAAACATTACTATGTTTTACTATACATTAGAATGTTTTTCAGGATGCAATATTTAAACTGATACTAAAATAAATAAAGTTAGAGAGAGATATTCATTCAAAGTCATAGTTTTTGATATTAGGACTCCCATTTATGTCGCAACAGAGAAGTACATTCAAATTTTGTTTGACAAACCTTTTTCTGTATCTTTTACCACTTGAAAGTGCTAATGCTAAACATTACACAGATTCATATCATGTTCAAGATGAATAGCAATCTCTCTTGCGTGAGCGTGTTATTTGTAACATTCCCATTATCGTTCCTGATAATGAAAGCGCCATTTCCCATAACTTGCTATTCGGTACACATCCCCCTCCACTGTGACATGGAGGCTGGAGCACATTTTCCCTCCATCAGCTTCTCACCTGTTGTACAACACAAAGTGTTGATTCATATTTCACTAGAAAGGCTGTGTGTGCTGCTGGGGGACAATGTGACACACAGTTTAAAAGGAGGTATTGATAATTGATGATTAGGTGCATGTGCTCCATGAAATGGATTTGCTTAAGTTGAGGATGGTAAGGATTAGACACTGACTAAGGGTTTGCAAACACAAAAGCACAAACAAAAGCATGAAGCAAAGCACATGCAAGCAGAGGCGCCCTCCGGGACAAAGATGAACTGTCCCGTATGAACATGCCCAGACACTCACACGTACACAAACGCATTTACCATGTGTCTCTGTGGACTGAGTGAACCAGCCAAACTTCCCTTTCTTCTTCTCAGTGAGGTCAGCCAGCGTGACCCCTTGGCGTTACCAACATGCAGTTCACACAGCCAGACAGCAGAGGAAGCAGTGAGTCAGTACGCGGCAGAACAAGAGAGACAGCTGCAATACAAACTACAGCACAGACACAGCTACCATGTCCAGGAAAAGCTACCAAACAAGTGTACAGGACACAGTAATATCCTCTAGCCATAAAAGACTACCTTTTCCTACTACAGTAAATCATTCACTGCTAACAGGAAGGGGCTTGACACATAACAGGAAAGAGAAAGGTTAAAGGAACAATGTTTTGGGGTATTAACAATATTTAAGTGCTGACATTAGCATAGAATCTCACAGCACAGTTTAGACAGGATACTTGCTAACTGAAAGATGATATGTAGTAGAGAATAGTTGTTTAGTAGTACTTAATATCAGCCAGGCTCATATGTATTAGCTTAATGCAGATATACCGGTATTGCCGTTTATGTCAGCCGATAAATAACAAGAAAGTGCAGTTTAGAAAAGCCATTTATATGTTTGAGTAAGTTTTGAAGCAGAGGCGACAATACATTGTACTGAGAGTGCTGACTGTAGAATGTCCCACTCAATACATAGGGCTTGGTCGCAATTCTTTAAAAACCAACCATACTACTGTATTTCTGCCTCATAAATCCCCTCGGTTGGGCATTATTTTAGCCCTATAAATTCTGGACAGAGTAACAATGAATACAATATTAGACTGGAAAGGATTAGCAGGAAACAGAACTTCAGAAAAAAAACATAAGATTGAAAGCAGAGAATAGAACAGCTGCTCGCAAGAAGAGAAGATGTGAAGACACAAAAAGGAAGAAAGAAGGAAAAAAACTACTGTTAGCAATAATCTACAGACGTTTTTTTTTACAAGGCACACAGTCACTGCAGGAGTTAAGGAGAGAAAGCTAGTGTGTTGTCTTGGGTGTCTACAACAACAGCAGCAGAGGTGGAAGCAGGGCAATTACTGGAGGATGTAAAAACTGACAGGTACATATGCACTGGCCGCACTGTAAAAGGTTTAAAGGCACTGTAGCAGTGTCAAAAACCTGCCACCCACATTACCCACAATGCAACTCTACCGCCAACAATTTGGTCTGAGAGTCACGTGTATTATGTTAGTAGCTGCACATGTAGCCTCAAGCAGCTAGCCCCCATCCTATTGAACAAAATATATTTGTGATAAAAAAGGAAATGATTGACCTGTGAGCAGACCTATACATCAATCAGTATGGAACTGGAAAGCCTGATACTCATTACCGTCACCGCTCTGCTTGAAGTCAACGACGGTGACGTAAGAAATGAATGTGTAAGTAATTTCAGCAGCTGCTAACTTAGAGACAGACTTAAAGAGAGAAACAGAGAGCAAACAATGCTAGAAAACATTTTTCTATATTTTTTAGCAAGTTTTTAATGATGTCCTTGTGAATTGGATACATCGAGCATTGGGAGAACTGATCATCTCAAAAGGCAGCTGTGTAAATTATCCCCTTTCCTTCATCATTCTGTCTTTTATGTAAGTGATGGGTGACAGGGAAATTTAAAGCGAGAACTGCCAATTAAGGGTTGTATTCATTCAATCAATCAATACAGCAGTGGTTATTGCAAACACACCTGGCTGAGGTCTGCACTCTGCTGAATCCTGAACCTTTCAAGTTATTAATGTAAATGTGGTTTAACAATTTTAGGATTAAGGAATGAAATGCATGGCCTTATATAAGGAGAAAACATACTATGATTAAAGGTGAACAACAAAGAGAGAACTTGAAGACATGTTGCAATTTTTCATAACTGCATTTGTCAAGAATCTGTTATGACGCTTCATACAACGACCCACAGCTCAATCATTCAATATCAATCATTTAATCAAATGACTGAAGTCAATCCTTATTTCAGCTGTAAACACAAAGAACTTGTCTGCAGCGACCACCTTCATTTTACTGCACCGGTCAAAGGTCAAATAGATTATTTGAATTCTGTATTGGATTTTTTCTCACCGGAAAACCAAACAGGGTGCAAACATTCTGTTCTCACAATAAGCCTCCTCCAGATCAGAATAAGCAATATTTCTCTCTCATGCATACACACACACACAACCAAACGTCCACAGTTACCGGTGCGTTGTCATGGCAACAGCACACACAAGGCCACACCACAGAATAGACTGAAAATCACGGCACTGCTGTCACCCACTTTCTTTGTGCTACCTCAGAAGTCGCCACCGTGGCTGATGTCACAGTTTTCCCGAAGAGAAGTTTTCCTTTTAGAATCCAGCAGCACTGATGCAGGAAAGTGAGCAGCACATGTGGTTGGTGGTTCAACAAAATGGGGGTCACAACTGCCCTAACTTGCAGAGAGTTTATGTCTGCACTCATCGAGAGATAATCATGAGCATCTATGTGTGTAGCACAGACCAATTCTGCAGCACTTTGTGGTTCACATCAATATTCAGGAGGCAAACAGAAGGAACAACAGGAAGTATATATTTCTAATATTGACCTAATTAATGAAGGTAATAGAAAATAGAAAGGTACTGTAAAATAGCAAAACAACACAAAGTACAGTATTATATTTGCTTCACTCAACTCATTTTGCCAGAAGAGAAAGAGTCAGATTTCGTGAGGTGAATTTTTTAGGTGGCGAATGTCTCATTTTGGTACAATAACTGTTTTCTGGATTCCTTATTGTAGAAATGGCCTGTTTTACCAAACTGCACATCCTGGAGAAAGATATATTTTATTAAATGCATCGTTGTATGGTGACATTCATGTGTTTTGTTTACAATCTGCAACATGTGATACGGTCCCTTTGTACTGAATATAAGACTTGATTGTGGTTGTTTGTCATTTCTAAGTGCAACCTGTCAGCGTGTCAGTTTTATTTGGCCACTCTCCACATGCTTAAAAGAGTCGGTCAACATCTAATTGTGGGAAAAAGTAATGTGTTATTAGCGAAGCCAGAGCGATTTGTCCCAGATACATAGAACATTTCCTTTATGATACATGAAAGGCAACGCATCAGTGAGCTTGTCCGAGTGGAACAACAACAGGTGGATGAGTAATGGTTTGCCCTCCTCACCTGCCTTCTTTCACTATCAATGAGACAAAGAAACATGCAACTTTATTTAAAGTCAGAGGAGCTTTATTAAGGCCCGGCTCAACTCACAGTTCTGTTTGCATTCTTCATTTCTCTGCTTTGGACATGGATAGAGGGACAAAATTGATCAAATTCAGAAAACTCACGGTTACGCTTGCCCTCCTCGTCCCCCTCCTCCTCGTTCTCGGGGTCGATGTCCTCGGCCTGCGTGATCCAGTCCAGGTAGCCTTTCAGGTCTTCCTCTAACTGCTGCTTCTCACGTAGCTTCTGGAAATCTCCCCGAGCCTTGGCCTTCTCTCGCTCTTTGGAAAACTCTCTGGATAGGGCGGAGCATAACGATTGTAAAACCTGATTCAGATAATACTGTACTGGATCAGAACAAACACCAAACAAGAAATCTGTCCATTTTCTAAACCTGCTTATTATCCTGTTCAGGTTCACAGAACTGATAATCATATGGCTACTTATATTTTTAAATTATAATGTATTTAACCATTTCATATAGTGTCTGAAAATATTCTTAGTGTTTGAAATTAATTTGTGGAGTTTAGCACATCAAAACAAGACTTAAAAGCTTTTTGCACAGCACAAAACAAACAAATGCACCCTCAACACCTACCCGCTCAACACACCCAAAACCAGGTTCAGAACAAAGAAGGATCCAAAGATGACCAGACTGACAAAGTAGACCCAGGGCAGCTCAAAGCCCATTGCATCATTCATCTAAATAGAAACACAAGTAGAGAAGGAGAAATATTAGACACGGTTTATTTATATGCTTTGGTTCATAATTGTGCATATTTTCTTCTTTTTTTATGTTTTTTTATTTATTTTTAAATTGCATACAATTCTTTACTGTTTCATGAAACTTGTCGTAGTGAATTGAACTACTGTGCTCTAGGAAACCCAAAGACCCTCACGAACAACTCATGAAAAGACAAATATCTCGTACATTTACTCCATAGACATTTACAAGGACCAGTGTAATTCCCCCAAATGTTTTAGATCGACAGCTGCTTTAGTGTTTCAGCCATTCAAGTAACAACGACTGGCTGATGGGCATGGATGATGTGTGGCTGCTATTTTTCACAGCTTGTGCCAGTAGAAAATACACCTCAACTCACCTGCACCTTTACAAACCACACGTATTGTATAGATAGTATGTATAGCTTTTGAATGCTCCAGGTATTGAAAGTTTACTTTCAGGCACAGCCTTAACAATTATATTTTGAATGTAAGTAATCACATGTACTGCCTTTAGTATAATTGTGTTGATTTTCTTAATTTACTTCTTTTTTTTTTACATCTTGCTAAGCTCAAGGGAGCCATGACTCCAGTACTTTAAATGTAAGTAATACTGGAGGCAGTTCAAAGTCCATAATGTCCTTCAGAGGGAAAGAGCTCTACAAAGAGCCACGACTAACAGTGGAGCAGGAACCGTGACCACTAGAGGGCAACACGTGAGAGACGACTGGGCTAGTAATGAGGAGAGGACATATTAGAGGATGACTTATATTTTAGTAATGAGGATGTGGTAAATGACCTCACTACAGAGCTAAAGTGCATTATAATCAAGCTGTTTGGCAAAGAGAAAGTTGAAGTTTGTCCATTTATAACCACACACTGGCTTTTTATACAGTCTGGATAACCTATACACACTTGACACTTAACTTTTCTACGTCCCATACATGCATGTATGCAAAACTACTTAAAAACTCATATTACTCCTGAAAAAAAACAACCCACACCAGCTGGCAAGGAAGAGACAACTCAATGCTTTGACTCTGCCTCCAGCAACAGCACAATACAGCCAAGATATTGAATAGATTTCTGTATCTATCCATCTATCTATCCTGCTTTAAGGTTTGTCTCCTTCTTTCAGCACTTTGACAGCAGTATTTGCATGGGATTGCCATGGTAACACATACAGAAGTAAAGAGTCTGCAAGGGAGAGAGAAAGGACGACACACAGAGGTTCATCATTTCATAGATGAGGGTCTCCATCAATAAAAGGGTGTGGGTGGATTCTGATTAAAACTCATCCTGAGTTGGGCTTCAATGCTGAGTGTTTTTGGATAATTAAAAGCTGTTGTTGATTTTTGCTAATGAGAAGCTGAGGGTTTTGAAGTGAGCCTGCCTTTTTTTTTTCAAAGTCATATGAGCTTGAATATTGTAGGAGAGAGAAACCAAATGTCATTTGAGATGTTATATATTGAGGGCCTCAATGAGTTATGTTTCTTGTAGCGCGCAGATTTTCAGTTAAACCTTGTAAATTATCTCCAGACATCATTATTGTGTCCTGTATGAAACAACCCTTTTGTAAATCATCTTAAGTTTAACCATGTTACATAACAAATTATAAAAAATAATGAAATGGTAATGTATTATGTAAAACACTTGTTGTTGCTGAAAGGTGCTGCACAAATAAACCTGCCTAATCAATGCACATTACTTTCATCATGTCACATTTTTCATAACTACAGTTAAAATATAATGTCTTATATAATTCAAAATAAGGAAACTTTTGATTATCTTTCTAACAAATAAAGCAGTTCTATACGGGGTAGTCATGAAAAATATGTCACCTTGTTTTCATCTTTAACCTTAAAAATGATGACATCGACATAGTTTTAAACATGCCAGAAGTAACACAGTATTTTACAAGGTTTTGTCAAAATCAAAGATCTCAAAAGTGACACACATGGGTTATTAAACAAAAATGATGGCCCCAACAGGGCTTCATCAGAGTAATTTGGATGCAGAGTGGCAGATTACCCAGTAGAGAACGTCGGTCCAGCCCTCCATGGTGATGCACTGGAACACAGTGAGCATGGCAAACAAGAAATTGTCGAAGTTGGTGATGCCGTTGTTGGGGCCTTGCCAGTCCTCTTTGCAAGACGTACCATTGAGCAGGCAATGGCGGCCGTGCCCTGAAACCGCACATGGCGTGGCCTCTTCTTCCGCGAGGGCACCTCGGGGCACAAAGTTAGACAGATGAATCGACAAATCCACAGAATTGTAGCTGGCGCATAATAAAAGATTTTTAAAAAAAGAACAAAGCCTTCTGTTTAAATGACAGCTTTTTCTCTTCTTAAATCTCACTTTGTACTGAAATTATTTTACAGCACTGCCATTATAAAACTGGTCTTAATCATACTATTTTATCATCTCCTTTGACTGGTTATCATCTACATTGTCTTAGCCTCCTACTACCATTTCATTCTTTTGACTGTATTCATTTTTCATAATTGCGCTTTTCTTTTCTCCTGCTCCGTTTATCCAAGAGCATTTTCCTTTGATTTTTCTTGAAAAAGCTTCCGAAATTAATTATGATCGTCATTATTACTCTGTAAGAAGAGAATAAAACATTTAAGCTAATCACAGTCAGACCAGACCAGAGATCGGCTTAATAAAGTGCTCTAGGTTACATTTCATTACTAAATGTTCTGTCATCATGCAATCATTAAATAAACATTACAGACACACATACATAGTCAATGAGCCCACAACATGTTAAACTTCCTCCCCTCCTTGTTAAAATATACACCAAGCATGCTTTTACACACAGATCCTATTGTTTTGTTGGGGACACATGTCCCCCTCCATCCACACGTATGAGGACCACAAGCAACAGTAAGTGCCTTGCTCACAACAAAGAGAGCAGACACGAGCGAGGGGACATTACAGGGAGCTTCCATCTCGCTCAGTCATGAACTCCCAACTTAAGTCTAGAATGCTTCTCTTGGCGTCCACAAGCAAACACATCAAAACAGATCAAAGCGAGAAAGAGGGGGAGATTAGGAGAAAGGTGTGTATGAGAGAGGGGGAAACAGAGAGTGATACTTTCTATATAGCCCACAAATCTCTGTGATTTAAACAGCCACACTCGTGTGTATGTATATACAGTATGTACATGCTTCAATCAATGTATCCTTACTCTTCAACAATTCTGGCATGTATGAAGCTTTGGTACAGTTATGGTTACAGACTCTCCCCACCGACCTACACTTAACATTTTCAGTGTATTTCATTTGCCAAAACAAAGTTAAAGATGTATTTGACTGACAGCATTATTTTTTTCAAATTTTCAGTAATAGTTGTAAAAAGTCTGATATTGTGAAAGCCCTAGTTTGAAGCAATGCTAGAGTAAAAGTCAAGCCTGTTTACATAATAGTCAGATATAATCACTGGATTTAATCCACCCATCTGTTGCTCTGTCCTGTTTTGCTTGCCACCATTCACATACTAGGAACATGTGTCCATTTATTGACAGGGATTAAATCCTGTATAGATGAGATTTATACTCCTGTTCATACTGTAGGTTGGAATTGGGACTCCATCAAAAAACTCGCTGTAAAATCGGACACAACAAAATGATACCAAAATCAAAGAAAACCACACATTTCAAAGAAAACTGCTAGGCACTACCATACCTGTTTGTATCACGTAGCATGTTGCATGCATTTTGCCAATGAAGAGCTCCAGGCCGATGATGGCATAGATGATAATGACAAAGAGGACCAGCAGAGCGATGTGAAGCAGGGGAACCATGGCTTTAATAATGGAGTTTAAAACCACCTGTAAACCTGCAAAGGGAACACATGACAGACATGTAAATGGGCTGTGTACCCAGGAATTCCCAAATTTGAGTTGCCACTAATATGAGAAAAGCAGGAACAGTATATTTGTTCCTAATTTTATTTAATGAACAACCCTTGAATATGTGTTTATGTCAGCAAGAACAGACCTCTACGCTCAATGCAGAATAAAACTCTAAAAGGTAGTCTTAATCAAAATACATATATTGTGTACATTAGAGCAGAAGAAGAATACCATTATCCCAAACTAAAAGACCAGAATGGTTCATCTAGTTTGTTTTTTGCTAAACAGTCATTAGCCTAGCTAGCCATTCTCCCCTCCAACTCCAGAAACGGGCGGCAACTTACAATTATAATCATTACTGATTATTTTCTCAAGTCAATTGTTTGGACAAATGATATGCACAGAAAAGCAAACAGCCACATACACACACAAAGCTATGCGTTGTTGTAAAGGCATGGCATTATCTGTATTCTTCAAAGCCTCATGATATCACCGAATAGACATGAAAGCCAGCAAACCGGCTTCTATGGCATTAGCAAACAAGCCGAAATATCACAGCTTAATTAAACCGCACACACCATCCTACAGAGACAAATGTTAAACTAGATTAGAACTGAAAATGTTGTCGAAGCTCAGTTCATCTTTCCCGGGGGTCCTTTCCTCCTTGAGACCATGTGGACAATACATTGCTATGGCAACTCAAAGAATGCAGACACATTAGGGCAACTTCATGGAAGGTCAACTATGAGCTGGACAGAAATGGTGAAGGAAGCTGTATCTCCTGATCTGCAGGAAGGGAAGTTTCCTTTTCCTTTTCAAATATTTAAGGTAATATTACAGCGGTTAGCCACAGTCAAAGGAGCAAACAAACAGCATTACTATTGGCCGTAGAATGGATGGTGTACAAAAACATTAAACATCTTCTTGTTCCCATTTCCGCAATTTACCTCAATTGCACTATATTGGCTTGGGCTTAGACCACCGGCTTGTGTCAGAATCTAATAGAGACAGCAGTACAGTTTCTACTGGCTAAAGGTTAGCTAGCTGGTATACACTGATGCAAATACCAGCACAAAGAAATCTTTTTTTTCACTGAGCTAATACTCCAATTTTAGTTTATGTGTTAACACTAATTGTCTGGCAAGCTCGACATACAAATGACAGACTTTGGCCACAGTCACATAGGTACCAGCAATGAATGCTGTGTTCAGTAGAGGGCAGTATTCAGTCGTTTCCAACCCGACAAAAACAATTGACTTATTGTTATCAATAAATAAATGGGAAGAAATAAATATGAATTTAAATATTGCATTTCAGAACGAAATGTTTTAATATTCTGTTATGTAAGATTACAAATTAAACCCATGATAGTCTAATAGGCCTTCTCCACTGCAAACATTTTTTCCCATCACAGTAGGGAAAGCACAGGTCTTACTATTAACATTAACAATGGCTCTGTTCTATTCATGTGTCTCAGAAAGTCTAACAAGGTGGCAGCTTTTTAGGCCTCCACCAATGTTATAAATGCCAGGCTCCTAATTGTCAAAATCCATTACACTCCTGTGATAGGTAATGTCATCTCACAATTAAGCAGGAAATGCAATCACAAAGTCGCCTGGCAGAGTGGAAAATTGTTATACTGTAATTTGATCTAGTCTGTGGCCAGTCAGTGGAGCTTAATGTATAAAGCTTAGTCCACATAGGGCCCCACTCTACCAAGTGAGCTACAGAGCTGCCCCAGTGTTGCACGATTATTTTTGGGGATTTATTTTTTGTTTGTTTAGCCCATTTCTAAACTGCATTGAAAGTTGTTTTCAACCAAGTAAAATCCAGCAAGACTCTATGGTAAAGGAGGCGTAGCACAAGTACTGTTAATGAAAAAATAAATGAATAAATCAGTCAACACAGAGCAAAATAAAATGATGTATTGGCTTTGGACACTGTGGTTATTTGAGAAACCAGACCACAAAGATTTGGGACAGCAGTTGGATTAGTAAGCATCACATGTTATTGCAATGACTGCTTTTAGTTTTAACGGATAATGCAGGACAACAAAAGCTAAAAATAAAGTTTACTCTGCATAGATTTAAGTATATCTATTCTACCAGTTTTAACTGATATTAAAATGCGCAGCGACCAGTTCCAAAGACGGAATACACCGGGGGTCCTACACCTACAACATCGGAGGTGGGGGGGCTGCGACCAGAACGAGCTGAGCACAGTCTTCCCAGCGCCTGTTATTGCACGCCAACCGCAATCCCCAGAGGAGGAAACTCTAGGGACATTTGGCGACTCAAGTTGTTCCCCTCTGAAAGTGTGGGGGATGGAGCATTCCATCTAAGCAAAGCCGGTTAAACCCAGCTCATTGGGTTTATCAGTTTTTCTTTCTATTTATAATATTTCTTATCTGAACTGATGATGTCATCTGTGATCTCAGGGAAAACGATGAGACATTAGAAATGGTAACATCTTCTGTGGTGCCACCAATGTGAAGAGTTCCCTAGTTCAGGTTTATATGCTCAATTACAAGTTTAATTACAGAATAATTATAGGGTCATTAACAACTATAGATATATTGCTCTCTTGTTAGCTGTATGAACACAATTTTAGTGATTATTATTATTCGTAGCCTATCTAGAATTTGGTGACCTGGGATCATTTCAGATGTCTCATATCCAGGTTGGGTTGGGGTGCATAACTCCACCCAACGCCAACCTGATTAAAGGTCTAAATAGTGTGTGCAAGTCAAAAAATGTAACTCAAGTCTTGTCTTAAAACTGCTTAAGAGCTAAAACCAGCTCTGTGTTAACTCACTAGGAACTCCAGAGACAAGGCGAAGGGGTCGCAGCACGCGAAAAGCTCGGAGGGCCTTGACATCAAACCCCCCAGGTTTGCCTCCAGACTGGCCACCAGAGTCAGCGTCTTTGGTTATCATCTCCAGAACTACACTGAACAACCTGATGGAGGGGAGAGAGAGGGAAACGGGGAAGAGAGGGAGAGGAGAAGTTATGGGAAAGGGAGGCGAGGGAGAAGAGAGCAGTGACAGAGATGTCATGAAAACAGAGCAAAGCACATGAAAGCAAGAGTCAGACAGCAAAAAACAAAGCCATGTGTCCTCTTTGTACCTGTCTCTGTGTACATGCACCTGTGTGTGAGGGTGTGCTCATATGGTTTATGTGTGAGGCCTTTATGTCTGCGCATATTTACCTTTAGTTTTTCACACCCCATCACACTTTACATTAAAGTACTGATCACTCTTAACAAGGCCATGCGTGTGAATGTGTGTACATACGTGTGTGTGTGCACATGTTTTTAAATATTACTGCCATCTTGTTACTGAATATGATGAGAATGAAAAGCTGGGGAGCCACGCAAATGACAGACAGCTGAATGCTGAATTAAGGTGCTTGTGCAATTCAAAAATGTAGGTTTGATTGATCGGGACTGTATATGAGCGATAACGTGCATCGTTAAAGCTTCAGTGTATGTAAGAAATAATCTGCCTGTGTCTGTGTGGAATCATGCCTATGACTGTGTGTGTGTTTGCGCGTACGTACCACGCATGCGCCGCTATGAACTCACCCCACTATGACAATGACAAAGTCCAGCATGTTCCAGCCATTTCTGACGTAGGAGTTTTGGTGCATGACCAGACCGTAAGCAATAATCTTCAGAAATGTCTCTATTGTGAAAATGATCAGGAAGGCATATTCCACTGTTTCCTGTGTGGAGAGAGGGAGAAAATAAAAGAAAGAGAACAGTTTAGTCATCTAACTTTACCCAAACTTTACAAAAGAAGTTGCTGTGAGCCTACTAATGGAGGTTGCCAAAAGAGGAGACGATGAGGCAAGAAGGCGTAAGACAAAACAACAGAGAAAACATTTCCCTGGTTAACAGTTGGCATGGCAAACAGAAGAGTATCTTAAAAACATTTTTATAAACGTAATTTAACATATTCTGTCGTTACGCACGTTAGCATACTGTAAGACATGATATGCGTCATAAGTCATAGTTTATTGCTGATGCTGAAAGGACACAAAACATTTTGAAATGTATGTTGTTTCAAAAAAATGTTCAAACCTCAAACAGGAACTTCTTCATTTTGTAAGCAAAGATAACTCTCACATTGAGAGCTCAAGGTCTTCATCCAGCAGCAGCAGCATTGTGAAACATGCCAAACACTGGCTTTTTATGGAGGAATGTGGGTGGAGAAGACCTGTATGAAATTACAGCCCTCATGCCTTGCTCCACATCATGATGCAGTGACCCTCCTCAGAAACACAGCACAGGAAGTGATGCATTTTACATTAGTAGTTTGGAATAAAAGGAAAATCTGGGTGCTTAACATGACCAGTGATGGTCACTGCATGAACAGACAAACAAAACTCAAAAGATGTCACAGTATTACCAGCACTCTTTGATTCATAGATGATCTATGAAAAATGTATTTCAGGGCCAAATATTCAAATTCTTCAGTCGTATTGTATGTCTTGCTGCATCATCAGAATGTTTCCATGGTAACACTGTGTCTGGTAACAGAAACAGGTCCCTGAATTTGGACATATCCACATACATCTATTTATTGAGCATTATTTCACTTTCTTTGTCTCTCGCAGAAACACATTTCACTCCTTTCCCACATATCTCTCCCTTTCTCTCTGTGTCTCTCCCACACAAACTCCCTCTCTTTCTATCTGTGTGTGTCTCTCTGTCTCTGTCTCCCTCAAAGCAAAAGGTCAGAGAGTCGGCAGGTTTAAGAACCACTAAGCACAGCACTTTTCCTGTTGATTTAATGGACACAAACACAGATGGCGCACACAAAGACTCACACCGACACATTCATGCCCACTGAAAGATACTGACACAAACAGAAACACACACACACTCAGACTTCACACCCACCCAAGTGGACAAGGGACCCGCAGTAGTACACATACCTCTGAAAGGCCGCAAGCCAACCAGACAGACAATTTCGCACAGGGATTATAAACGCTTCTGGCAATGGTGACATAGCCGCAGTTAGGATGTGTAGCAGCCATTGTAAGAAAATCACACCTACTGTTTGTTTATGCTCCATAACCGCATGTACTGTATATTCTGTTCAAATGCTGACTATTAATCATTGCATGCCGTCAGCTATAGACTTTAGAATGCATTTTTTTCAATCAATTGAGTTGTGTAAGCCTTTACAACATACATCAAGGTTGCATACATTTCTAAACATGCTCGCGCCAAAGCTCTAGAGATGTCAATGTCGGTCCACAACTTTGGTCCACAGATTTTGTGCAGACATTCATGGTCCCCAGATGATGAATCATACTGACTTTGGTGACCATGAGGTTGAGGCTTTTGCAGGTGTTAAGTCATAAACCGGAACTAGAGACCGTCTCGGGACGGGATCACACCAGCCGCAACGCCAAATCGAGCCAGGGGCCTAAAGTGGGGAGGCCAATGGCCCCTTCCCCCCTGCCTGATTTGTAAAATATTCAGTAGTAATGAAAAATATTCCCAATGCTTAGTAAATGGACACAAATATGCAAAATCACTGCAACAGTCCTTTCATACTGCAGAAAAGGCCCAGATGCTTCAGCCGAACATCTCAGCTGCCATGTAGATATTTATTTTTCTACAATGGCCATGTGTTTGTCCTAATTGTTATCTGGTGTAAACTGTGTCACTACAGTAGCTGGGTGATGACCTGTTAAGGTCAAGAGGCACCAAAACTGAGAGCTGTTTAACGCTGATAAAGAGCCTCCGAAGCACACACACACACACACACACACACACACACACACACACAGACACACACACACACACACACACACACCTGCTCCATCCTACTGTTGTTTACATAGGTCTGAAATGTCCACTCCTCTGCTTAGCGAACAGCTGACAAACTGTGCGTATGAGTGTGTATCTGTTGTTCAGCCCTCTGCATTCAGGTCGTGACCTGGGGGAGTGCAGCTGATAATCAACATGTTTGCATCTTAAGAACGGAGATTACTGCAGGACAATGGAGACAACAAATAGACACATGATCACATGATCTTACATATTGAATTAACACACACACAACAGAAACACTGAAGAGTAAGCAATTACATGAACACCTAACAAAAAATGAATGTAACCATTCAGTTACACACTGCTTTCATTACCTGAATATAGAATTTATTTGTAACACAAGTAATAGAGGCACTACTACTATATATAAAATATAATTGGATTTGCGACTAATGGTTAAATAGTTAAATCAAGTGATTCATTTTAAGTTTAAGACGTCCTTTGTGATGAAGGGTTACACGGAAGCTTAAAAATCTGTAGACTAGACTGCGTATCAGTAGACGCTCTCTTACATGTCCCACTGTACTACACTGTATTCCTTGGTTTTATACAAAATAATGCAAGATAAACTGACAGAGTTTTACTTTCAACCACCTAACCCAAAACGGAAAAAATAAAAGTGTGACACAATGAATAATTGAGATAAAACGCTGCAAGAGCAAGCGCAGCAGACTGCAGTTTTCGCAGGAGAGGTGCATGTGTGCAATGCTGTTAATGAAAACTAAACACTTCCTGCTGCTGCATCATATTAAAAGCTTTCCAGCGAAAGGGCTGGATTATGGCTTGACTATGAAGCAGCTATAGGAAGAGTTGTAATTACTGTGGTTAGCTCAGCCTGCATTATTTAATTTGTTTTAACTGAGTAAGCAGTAAGAGAAAAAATAAATGAACAAACTGGTGTAGAGAGAACCGCTCATCTATTCTAACCTACACCATAATGCACTATATTTTCAAAATAATCCAATTCAGTCAGGAGACCCGTCAGAAACTCATTTTGCACTAAAACCCAGTTTAGTTTTGTGCTCATGTAACATCCCCTCCCCTCCTCCCTGCAGGGTACAGAAGTGGATTTAATTAAGTATACGCAGAAAAGAAATCGTCTTTGACCTCTGCCCTATTACATGCCTCCTGATAGCTTTAATACACGTCATGATGTTACATAACAAAAAATAAAATCTCTTTTATATCTCAGATGGGTTTGTGGATAGTAAGTGAGTGCGGGAGTGTTAGAGTGACACATGGCGCTGGTGTGAGAGCATTAGAGTGGGGTTGAGTGCTGACCAGGAGGTGTAAAGAGAGAGACCCGAAACCCTGTCAGCCCTCTTCTCCACAGACAACCCTCCTGTGTGGAGCCTGGTATTTGGAGAGCTAGAGAGCTGTTTTTATTTGGTTTTGTTTCATGTAAACTGCTTCCCGAAAAAGGATAAATTAACACGTTCCAGCTGTTGTTTCATGTGTCTAAACCCAGTGAAGACCACTACGCTACGGTGCATCGCGGTAATCTGCTTCTGTGCTTGTAATACAGCTGTGATAGGGATTACGTTGCCATGGAAATCAGGCTTTTTTTTCATGTGTGGGCAGAGGATGAGACTTGAAGTTGGGATACTCAAGACAACTGCCTCTTGTACAGCACACTTTGTCGGGTAAATAGGAGTTTTCACCGATGCACTGCACGCTTTCAAAATAAAACATTATCACTCTATGAAAGCCAGCAAGCAGGCGCCTTTAAATCTGAGCTGCACACATAAAAGGACCAAATGTTAAAGATCCTCTAAGTAGGTTTTAGAAGTTCACATTTTGTTTCTCTGTGAGTATTTGGGATCTAATTCTTCTTATGTGTGTGTTGGTGGTGATTTTAAAAACCAATGCTCCGTTAAGACCATATTTAGACTTAAAAGGAGCAAACATGTGTTTGGTTGTTCTTATCTTGGATTTCAAGGTCTTTTCCTCACAGTTTTTGCATCATGACCATCCAATTACAGCTCCATTTAGGATCCACCCACAAAGCCCAAATTTGGATTTACTGGCTTCTGCAACTAACATCATGGCGTTGAGTTGTAATCCCAAAGAATAGGCCTACATGAAGTCCCTTAAGAAAACTATGGAAAATTACATGAACATGTACGTCCATGTTTTTCTAGTCGTTAATTCCCACTGGCTACGTTTGTCGTGAAAGCAGAGGACTAAGTGCATTTGTTCTCCTTTCCATCCGACTTTACCATCCTCAGCTTTAAGATGTCTTTACTAACGACAGCACAACACAGGCCCAGGCACACATAACGAAGCAGCTTAACTGATTTAAGGAGGAGCAGTGCTTCCTGTAATCTCCCAAATCTCCTCTTTTGGGAGCTGGACAAGAAATGTTTGTTGCTGAAGCCAAGAGAGCTCACAGTCTCTGTACAGAGGACAGACAAAATGTCCAGATGATGTTTTTGGATCGACAGAGACTGTGGAGCATGTTTTCAGTCAAGAGGAGTCAACAACTGTAAAAAAAAAAAATAATCGGCCTGGCTAAACCACAATCACCACTTTTGAGATCGAGCTGTACAATAGACGGCTGGTTTGAACTCTCCTGCACTCAGACATCAACATGAACAGTCCCTACACTTGTCTCACTTTACTTTTTCAATCATGTTCCATTCAGAAAACATGACAGCTGTTCTGGAAACATCTCCTAAACTGTCAGAATAAACAAACATGTAGTTGTTACTGAGTTTCAGTATTTTAAAGAGGAGGCGAGTCACGGTTACGTTCGCTGATTGATTGGTACTATAGCTGGCCAAGCTAAATCAAAAGGGGCTGTTTCCAAACTTAAATCTTGTAGTGAAAACTGAGCTTGCCAGCATGCTGTGTGAGGATATCCCAGTACATTAGTAAA